AAGTTTTGGAAAAATCAGTAATGAGTTAATTCAATTATCTAGATGGATTAACCAAATACATAATTCATTTCGGTGAACAGTTTTACTAAAACAAAAATTTGATTAGTTTAGTTTAAAATTAACTGAATCAAGTGAATAAACACCGCAAGTTGATGTAACATACATGATTTTTATATAGTTTTCCTCAACAACTTTTAAACCAAGTTTGTAGCACAAGTATATGAGAATATGACAGTGTCAAAATATTATAAATAGTATAGCAAATGTTATTTTTCGCACCTCCAATCGTATATCCTAAAATTTCCCTAAGAATTGGAATAAGGTTCAAATTGGCCACTGAACGTAATCTGAAAATGCAATTAGGCCACTGAACGAAAAAAAAGTGCAATTAGGCCATTGAACACTCAAAAAATGTGCAATTATGCCACTGAACACTCAAAAAATGTGCAATTAGGCCACTAAACACTTAAAAAATGTGCAATTAGGCCACTGAACTCTCCAAACGTATGCAATTTTACCGGATAGCAGGTTACCATCAATTTTAGCAGGTTACCTGCTTACGTCGCAGCTTAGTTGGCATTTTAAATAATTTTTAATAATTAATTTTAATAATAAATTTTATAAAAAATTGAAAAAAATTAAATAAAAAATAAAATAAAGTCATTTTTATTTTTTTTAAAAAAAATTTTAATAAAAAGTTATTATTAAAATTTATTAAAAATTAATTAAAATTTATTAAAAATGTCAACTCAGCTGCCACGTAAGCAGATAACCTGCTAAAATTGAGGGTAACCTGCTATCAGGTGAAATTGCACATTTTTGAAGTGTTCAGTGGCCTAATTGCACTTTTTTTTTTCGTTCAATGGCCTAATTGCACTTTCAGGTTACGTTCAGTGGCCAATTTGAACCTTATTCCCTAAGAATTTAACGTTTCTCATATCATCATTTCTCATCCAAATCTAAAAGCTTTTTATCTTCTTGATTGTGTGGTCCTCTATTTTTTTCTTTGTGGTCATAGTATTCAGCAATGTGTATTTCATGATAAAAATAAAACACGCCTTATGGGCCAAACTGGATATCAGTGAACTATAAGTCACTTGGTTAATTTTTTCTTCTTTAATATCCCATCTCAAACTTTCCTTATTTAATGATTCTTTTAAATACCGTTGGTTTAGCCGCCTGCAATTTCCAAGACCACTAGCTTTAGTTAGCTTGCAAGAGATGGAGTACTGGGATGGGAGATACATCATCATCTTGTCCGCGGCCTTCTTGATCCCGGCGGCTTTGCTCCTTCTAATCTCCCGGAACAAGTCACGCTCCGGCAGACTGCCGCCGGGACCACCTGGGCTGCCCGTGTTGGGCAACATGTTGGACCTCGGATCAGTACCACACCAAACAATAGCCGCGATGAGAAACAAGTACGGGCCTGTGGTTTGGCTAAGGATAGGCTCCGTCAGCACCCTGGCAATCCAGTCGGCCAAGGCCGCCGCCGAGCTCTTCAAGAACCACGACGTCCCATTCGCCGGCCGCAGCATCGGCGACGTCATGCTGGCGCAGGGTTACAACAAGGGGTCCATGGCGCTAGCCCAGTATGGATCATACTGGCGGGTGTTAAGGCGGATATGCTCCGTGGAAATGTTCGTGCACAAGAAGGTGAACGAAACGGCCGCCGTCCGGCGAAAATGCATCGACGATTTGCTCCGGTGGGTAGAAAACGAAGCAGGCTCTATCAAGAGAGGCTCTGGGATTCATGTAACTCGCTTTGTTTTCCTGGCAACATTCAACCTGCTGGGAAACATAATGTTTTCCAGCGATTTGGTGGATCCTGTGTCGGAAAAAGGCTCCAAGTTTTTCAACGCCATGATGGGTATCATGGAGCGGGGTGGCACTCCAAACATCTCCGACATCTTCCCATGTCTGAGGTGGCTGGATTTGCAGGGTTTAAGGACGAAGACCGACAAAGATCTGCAAATAGCGCTGCAAATTGTTTCAACTTTTGTGCAGAAACGTTCTAAAGAAGGACAGGACGACAGTGGAAAAAGGAAGAGTGATTTCTTGGATGTTCTGCTCAGTTTTGAAGGCAGTGGAAAAGATGAACCACCCAAGCTTTCAGAACACCAGATCAATATATTTATTCTGGTAACAATATAGTAACTTCTTAACGCCATATTCCCTGGAATTTGAAACCTCTTTATCTTAGGTAATCACAAAATTCTTATCTTTTACTGCAGGAAATGTTTTTGGCTGGAACAGACACGACTAGCAGCAGGGCCGGATTTTAGGCTGTGCAAGCTGGGCTACCGCACAGGGCCCCCAACTTTAGAGGGGCCCCAAATTTTAAAGGTCCAATATTTAATTTTTACCTAGCTAGTTTATAAATAAAAATTAAAAGTTTTTAATTAAACTTAAAAGGTTCTATGAAGAGATGGTAAGAATGTGTATTTGTTGTATTTTAACTTGGAGGTCAAAGGTTCGAAACTTACATGTATTAATTTTAAAAATTGTGATTTTGGTAGGGCCACATTTATTTACTAGAACAGGGCCACCAAAATTTAAAATACGGCCCTGACTAGCAGCACGGTGGAATGGGCACTAACGGAGCTCCTGCGAAACCCGAAAGCAATGACCAAAGCAAAAGAAGAGATTCGTGGAATTGTGGGACCAACCCGGAGATTCGAGGAATCCGACATTGATAATCTGCAGTATCTACAAGCTGTGGTTAAAGAAACACTGCGTCTCCATCCCCCAGCACCTTTCTTGATCCCAAGAAGAGCAATTCAAGACACTAAATTTATGGGCTATGACATACCCAAAGACACTCAGGTCTTCATAAATGTCTGGGCAATTGGCAGGGACCATGAAAGCTGGGAGGACCCTTTGTCTTTCAAGCCTGAGAGGTTCCTGGGCTCCAACATAGACTTCAAGGGACAGAACTTTGAGTTTCTGCCGTTTGGTGCGGGCAGGAGAATGTGTGCAGGTCTGCCATTAGGTAACAGGATGCTGCATTTTGTTCTGGGATCATTGCTTCATACTTTTGACTGGGAACTTGAAGGCAATGTGAGCTCAGAATCTCTGGACATGGCAGAAAGAATGGGAATCACAGTCAGAAAATTTGAACCTCTGAAAGCAATACCAAGGAGAGTTGTGGCTTGACAGAAGCTAGAATTCTACCTTGTAATTATTCTATTTTAGTTTCCAATGAATAAGGTCAATAATGGACATGTAAACTTCATCTGCTTGCAAATATGCTCATATATATTACATTATGCCTCAATGCAATTATAATTCTAAGAAACCTGCGGCCACTATCTGAGAATATGCATGAAGTAAATCCGATTTTGTGACTCTAATTGTCAAAAAACTACATGAAAGTAAACCCGTCTAAGTTGTACGGATCGTTATGCTGTGCATGTTGCATACGGATGTAAAAACGACGTCGTTTTATTAAAAACGTCTGTCTCACTTAAAAAAAAAAAATCAGTTTCGATCCCAGCAACAACATTATATTGTGCATAATTTGAACTATATATCCAGAATCAATGAACTAAAATTTCAGAATGGATGAACTAAAATTCCAGAATCTATGAACTAAAATTCCAGAATGAATGAACTAAATATCCATAATGAATGAACTAAATATCCAGCATGAATGAAAAAAAATCAGTTTCGATTCATGTCTAAATATCCATAATCAATGAACTAAAATTCCCGAATCTATGAACTAAAATTCCCGAATCTATGAACAACATAATGCTGTTGAGGAGAATCGAAACTGATTTTTTTTTTTTTTTTTAAAGTGGAATGCGCGTTTTTAATAAAACAAAGTCGTTCACTTTCTGTTGGGATGAACTTGTAGCCGGGCTGACCGACTTGTTTGGAGTTGTCTGTGTTAAGTTATATTTTTGTGTTGACGTATTTCGACAAGATTAATTTACGCAGGATCATATTTTAAGTATGTGGTGGTAAATTTCAAAGGAAATCTATTATATATGGGCCCATAGCAATATTAATTAGTTAAGTAGAAGCTTTCTTACTTGATACTCATATAACATGTTTTGTTTTATCTAAAATGATGGACCACCCGCTTTTATTATTTTATCTCTTATCAATTGAATCGACACATAAATTGAAAAGTGACTAAATCACAACTTCAATCGTATTGTGTAGATCATACTTTTAAATAATGTACATTCAATGCACAAATAATGTATTTTTAATATAATTAAAATATACATTACATTTAGAAAAAATATATTATTTAAATATTAAAAATACATTATTTTATATAATGTATTTCAATACACAAATAATATATTTTTAGTATCTTAAAAATGTATTTTTTGTTATAATTCACACAATTAGTACCACGGTTCACATAATAATTTGCCTCACAACTTGCACATGGTTATTTAAAGAAGTGGGCCGGGGCAAGTGGCTATAAACTGACAAGAACATGAGATGACAATTAATGTTGATCTCCTAAACGGGAAATGTCAGTAGAAGTTCGTGTCGTGTAGCAAAGAAGATTTAAAACCATTCAAATCCTATCTTTTATAGGGAAGCACAATTGTATGTAGAATTTTAAATCATGATAATTCAGCTGAACACAGAAGCTGCTTGATGCCACAAGTAACCCCCTCACTTGAAGCTAAGACTGAACATGACATTTACTTAATGCATACAAGGCCCTTTACTTGAAAGGTTACTCACACACTGTTACTGGTAAGACTCGATCACGGATCATTGTTCACAAACTCTTATGTGATCAAATGAAGCTGCCCGTGCTAGCAACTTACTTATTGTGATAAAGGAGTTGTAGTGTTATGTTATTTTATTGGTCAATTAACTTAAAAGAAGTTCATAAGTTTTATTTTAATTTGTTAGCAAAAGGAAAATGCTCGTGCAGAGTTCGAGATAGGAATTTGATCTTGTTGTGGACACTAGTGTACAATCAATATCTCACAATTTAGCTTCTTCACCGAACAGTGAGAGATCAAACATAATGAAAGTATTTTTGTCGTAATAACAATTGAAAATAGTACAAAAATTTCACAAACCACTCACACCACTGCAATAATTGGCATGTGGTACTAAAACAATTGACCCACAAACTTTGTCACTATAAGGTACAATTATTTGGAGGTGTATCATAAAAGACATTCCAAGATTGCTTGAATAAATTTTTACTGCACATCCCAGTAATTCGACATAGACAAACCTGCAAATGTAGCACACCAATATTGAATGGTAACTTCATTAATTACTGTGAGATAGATACGGATATGGCCCCAATCTGCCACAAATGTATCAAGATATCTGTTAAAAGTGAAACAAGAATGGTCAGTTCCCAGGGAGGGGTAGCTACACTACTTTAAATTAACACAAAGAATGTAGTACACTGTACACCAATATTGAATGGTCAGTTCCCAGGACCAGGGTAGCTACACTACTTTAAATGAAAACGGATTAACAAGAATTTGAGTGACCTGCAAATTGCAAAACCTCTTTAAGAGATGGAGTGGGAATGGAACTGCTTGGTTTGGTCAATGTTTGGGCAATTGGACGAGACCCTGAAAGCTGGGATGGCCCTCTATCTTTCAAGCCGGAGAGATTCCTGGGCTCAAATCTAGACTTCAAGGGGCAGGATTTCGAATTTCTACCATTTGGTGCAGGCCGGAGGATCTGTGTAGGCCTCCCGTTAGGTAACCGGATGGTGCATTTCATTCTGGGATCGCTGCTCCATGCCTTCGACTGGGAGCTTGAATCCAATGTGACCTCACAATCTCTGGACATGAAAGAAAGGATGGGATTAGCAGTTAGCAAATATGAACCCCTGAAAGCAATACCAAGGAGAATTGTAGCTTGAAAGAAGTTACAAGTCTTAGTGCATTTGAATTGATACCTGTTATGACTTGTACTGTTTTACTTGCTGAAGAATAATCTCAGTGCACATGTATGTAATGTTAATCTGCTTGCAACTATAAGATTTGCTTATCATTATAATTTTCCAGGCGATTTCTTGATCTATATTAAAGCAATAATCTATTCTACTTTTGATTTTTGAGATATCTCTCCGTACACATTCTCAAACTTGTCAACAGACAGAAGAGTACCTGGGCCAATACGAACAGAGCTGGTGGAGGCAATAAGAGTTAAAAAGTTAAAAAAAAATTTCTGAATAAAAAATAAAAATGGTCACCTTCCTTTGCTATCCTAGTATCCCATCAACAATTTTATAAACCATATATCATAATGGAGTGAATGAAATAAAACATGTGATAGGTGAAATAAATATTAGATAGAGAAAATGATTCTTAGAGATTAAGAATGATTCTTCAATAATTGTTTCTATGTTTGTGAAGGAACGTATGAACGAAGTCCGACATGACAATGGAAAGTTTATGGGCATGACATACCTAAAGATACTCGAACTTCATAAATGTTTGGGAAATTGGAAGAGACCCTGAAAGCTGGGATGACCATTTGTCTTTCAAGCCTGAGAGGTTCCCGGGCTCAAATATAATTTCAAGAGTCAGAATTTTGACTCTTTGCCATTTGGTGCAGGCCAGAGGATGTGTGCAGGTCTCCAATTAAGTAACCGGTTGCTGCACTTTGTTTTGGGATCACTGCTTCATACATTTGACTGGGAACTTGAATGCAATATGGCTTCAGAATCTCTGGACAGGAAAGAATAAATGGGAATAAGAGTCAGAAGCTAGAAGTCTAAATAGTGCATTTGCATTGAGACCCATCATAACTTACCATGTACTATGCTGCTTTACTTGCTGAAGAATAAGCTCAGTGCACAGATTAGTATGAATATATTGATATAAAATCACATCATTCCATTGAAAACGCCACTAGTGCAGCAAGCTTTGGCTGCATGAAATCTCATGTAGCTATATGCACACAGGCCTTTATTCTACTATAAATAGTCATTACAATTTTTTTTTTTTTTTTGAAGTGATAAAAAATCATTACAATTATTCAATCTAATAATAATATTATGCGACACTACCATATTATTTAAGTGATAACAGCATATAAAGAAGGAAATGAAATGGAGAAAGGAAAGGGACACAGGCAATCTTGCTAGCTTAGTGCAAAGGCGGCCAGCTTACTTATTTGTGATAAAAGGAGTCATAGCTTTATGTTATTTTATTGGTCAACTAACTCAAAAGAAGTTCATAAGTTTTGTTTAACTAACAACGGCAAAATGCATAGTGCAGAGTTCAAGGTACAGATTTAATCTTGTTGTGGGCACTAGTGTACAACCAACATCTCACGATTTAGCTTCTCCACCAAGGACGGGAACGATGAGAGATCAAACATAGTGAAAATATCTTTGTCATAATAACAATTGAAAATAGTGCCAAAATTTCACAACCACAAAAATAATCGAAAATAATGAAAAAATTTCACACCACTAAAATAATTGGCATGTGGTACTAAAACAATTGACCCACAAACTTTGTCACTGTAAGGTACAATTATTTGGTAATTGACATGTGGTACTAAAACAATTGACCCACAAACTTTGTCATTGTAAGGTACAATTATTTGGTAATTGGCATTTGGTACTAAAACAATTGACCCACACACTTTGTCACTATAAGGTCAATTATTTGGAGGTGTATCATAAAAGACTTTCCAAGATTGCTTGAATAAATTGTTACTGCACATCCCAGTAATTCAACATAGACAAACCTGCAAATGTAGTGCACGAATATTGAATGGTAACTTTTTTTTCTTGCATAGAACATCCGTTTCTTCATTACAGTGAGATATATGGCCCCAGCCTGCTAACAATTGTACCAAGATGTCTGTTAAAAGTGAAATAAGAATTGTCAGTTCCCGGGGACAAGGGTAGCTACACAACTTTAAATGAACACAGATTAACAAGAATTTGAGTGACCTGCAAATTGCAAAACCTCAAAACTTTAAAGAGATGGAGTGGGAACGGAAGTACTTGGTTTGGTCTGCCATCTTCCTGATTCCGGGATTGGTCTTTCTACTCACCCGGAAGAAGCCATCATGTTCCTACAGACTACCTCCAGGACCGCCTGGGTTGCCTGTTATTGGGAACATGATGGATCTTGGAGCATTTCCACATCAAACAATAGCGGAGATGAAAAACAAGTATGGTTCTGTGATTTGGTTAACGATAGGCTCTGTCAGTACCACGGCAATTCTGTCTGCCAAGGCAGCTGCTGAGCTCTTCAAGAACCATGATGTCTCATTTGCAGATCGCAAAGTGATAGACGCCATGAAGGTGCAGGGCTACCACAAGGGAGCCTTGGCGTTAGCCCCGTATGGATCCTACTGGCGCATGTTAAGGAGGATATGTACGGTAGAATTGTTCGTGCATAAGAGGATTAACGAAACAGTGCCTGTTAGGAGAAAATGCATTGATGACATGCTGTTATGGATAGAAAAAGAAGCAAGTTCTGTGCAGAGAGGGACTGGGGTTCATGTAGCACATTTTGTTTTCCTCTCAACATTTAACTTGTTGGGGAACCTAATTCTCTCTCGCGATTTGGTAGATCCTATGTCAGATAAAGCATCAAAGTTTTTCGATGCCATGACAGGCATCATGCAGTGGTTTGGCACTCCAAACATTTCAGACATATTCCCAGGTCTTAGGTGGCTAGATTTACAGGGTTTAAGAAGGAAGGCTGACAGAGATGTGAGAACAACACTGGAAATTGTTTCTATGCTTGTGAAGGAACGCATGAACAAAGATAGACAGGAGAGCGGAAAGAGGAAAGATTTCTTGGATGTATTGCTCGAGTTTGAAGGCAATGGAAAGGATGAACCAGCCAAGCTATCAGAACATGAAATCAATATATTTGTAATGGTAAGTTCTTGCCAACTATTATCTATTATATTTGTTTTTCATCTTGGCATGCTTGATGCTTCAAAAGTATAAATTGCTAATCTAGTATGGACTATGGATCCTTGTTACATACTGAAAAGGAAACTGACCGAAAATATATTGAGCAGAATTCACTATTCCTATTTCCTACCCCCCGTATTTTGGTACTGCAGGAAATATTTTTCGCTGGTACAGAGACGACTAGCAGCAGTGTGGAATGGGCACTAAGTGAGCTCTTGTGTAACCCAAAAGTGATGGCTAAAGTCAAAGAAGAGATTTATGAAGTTGTAGGACCAAACCGGAGATTTGAGGAAAGTGATATTGATAATCTGCAGTACATGCAGGCAGTGGTCAAGGAAACACTACGTTTGCATCCCCCTGTTGCTTTCTTAGTGCCAAGAAGAGCAATTCAAGATACTAAATTTATGGAGTACGACATACCTAAAGACACTCAAGTCTTCGTAAATGTTTGGGCAATTGGAAGAGACCCTGAAAGCTGGGATGACCCTCTATCTTTCAAGCCGGAGAGATTCCTGGGCTCAAACACAGACTTCAAGGGGCAGGATTTTGAATTTCTACCATTTGGTGCAGGCCGGAGGATCTGTGTAGGCCTCCCGTTAGGTAATGGATGCTGCATTTCATTCTGGGATCGCTGCTCCATGCCTTCGACTGGGAGCTCGAATTCAATGTGACCTCACAATCTCTGGACATGAAAGAAAGGAAGGGAGTAGCAGCTAGCAAATCTGAACCCCTGAAAGCAATACCAAGGAGAATTGTAGCTTGAAAGAAGTTACAAGTCTTAGTGCATTTGCATTCAGACCTGTTATGACTTATACTGTTTTACTTGCTGAAGAATAATCTCAGTGCACATGCATGTAATAATGTAATATTGATCTGCTTGCAACTATAAGATTTGCTTATCATTATAATAATAGTTTTCTTGATCTGTATTAAAGCAATAATCTACTCTACTTTTGATTTTTGAGATGTCTCTCTGTAAACATTCTCAAACTGGTCAACAGACAGAAGAGTACATGGACTAATACGAACAGAGTTGGAGGCAATAAGAGTTTTAAAAAAAATCTGAATAAAAAATAAAAATGGTCACCTTCCAGGCTTCCATTGCTATCCTAGTACCCCATCAACAATTTTATAAACGCAAGGGGACCTTGGGATTTGCCCCATATGGATCCCACTGGCGCATGTTAAGGAGGATATGCACAGTGGAATTGTTCGTGCATAAGAGGGTCAAGGAAACAGTGCCTGTAAGGAGAAAATGCATTGATGACATGCTCCAATGGATAGAAAAGGAAGCGAATTCTATGAAGGGAGGAACTGGGGTTCATGTAGCACACTTTGTTTTCCTATCAACATTTAGCATGTTGGGGAACCTATTTCTTTCTCGCGATTTGGAAGATCCTGTGTCAGATAAAGCTTCAAAGTTTTTTGAAGCCGCGGCAGGCGTTGCACAGTGGTTTGGCACTCCAAACATTTCAGACATGTTCCCAAGTCTTAGGTGGCTAGACTTGCAGGATTTAAGAAGGAAAGCTGACAGAGATGTGAGAACAGCATTGGAAATTGTTTGTGTTCGTGAAGGAACGTATGCACGAAGTCCGGCAGGGCAGTGGAAAGAGATAAGACTTCTTGGATGTATTACTCGAGTTTGAAGGCAATAGGAAGGATGAACCAGCCAGGCTATCAGAACATGAAGTAAATATATTTGTACTGGTAGGTTCTTACATACTAACTCTTTGCCCTTTTTTGCTCATCTTGGCATATTCACTGTGCGTACAGCTGAAATATGGGTATTGCAGGAAATGCTTTTTGGTGGTACAGAGACGACTAGCAGCAGTGTGGAATGGGCTAGGGGTGTAAATGAGCCGAGCCGTTCGCGAGTCACTCGCGAGCTGCTCGGTCAAAGCTCGGCTAGAGCTCGGTCAAAATCGAGCTCGAGCGACTCATTTACTTATCGAGCTCGAGCCGAGCTCACATATCCTATGCTCGTGGCTCGACGAGACGCTTGCGAGCCTTATATAATAATAATAATAATAATAATAATATTATTATTATTATTATTATTATTATTATTATTATTAAAAATTAAAGTTTTACTCCCTTCTAAGGCTTACCCTACTCCAATACTCTCGCAGTCCCGCACTCCCGCCCCCATTTCCCCCAAGCCCTAACTCCTGGAAGACTGTCGACGACACGGAGATGAGATACGGGGACACCAGAAGACTGCCGGCCGATGACGACGACCCTTGTCTTCGGTCTCCACCTTTGTCGATGTCGAACTGACGAAGCTGCTGCAGTGCTGCCCGATAGTCGACTAGTCGAGACTGGACGAAGCTGTTGCCGACGAATAGACGAAGCTACGCGGATTCCCATTGAGCCCGAACTCGAGCTCGAGCTCGAGCTCGGCTCGACTCGTTTACACCCCTTGAATGGGCACTAAGTTGTGTAACCCAAAAGAGATGGCCAAAGTCAAAGAAGAGATTTATGAAGTTGTAGGACCAAACCGGAGATTTGAGGAAAGTGATATTGATAATCTGCAGTACATGCAGGCAGTGGTTAAAGAAACACTGCGTCTGCATCCCCAGCACCTTTCTTGATCCCAAGAAGAGCAATTCAAGATACTAAATTTATGGAGTATGACATACCTAAAGACACTCAAGTCTTCGTAAATGTTTGGGCAATTGGACGAGACCCTGAAAGCTGGGATGACCCTCTATCTTTCAAGCCTGAGAGGTTCCTGGGCTCAAACATAGACTTCAAGGGGCAGGATTTTGAATTTCTACCATTTGGTGCAGGCCGGAGGATTTGTGTAGGCCTCCCATTACGTAACCGGATGCTGCATTTTATTCTGGGATCACTTCTCCATGCCTTCGACTGGGAGCTCGAATGCGATGTGACCTCCCAATCTCTGGATATGAAAGAAAGGATGGGATTAGCAACTACCAAATTTGAACCCCTGAGACCCATCATAACTTACCATGTATTGTACTGTTTTAGTTGCTGAAGAATAAGCTTTGTACACATGCAATGCATGTAATATTGATCTGTTTGCAACTATAAGATTTGCGTATCATTATAATATACCTCCACATAGTATTATATTATTACTCCATAATTATATTCTTATAAGTTACATTTACAGAAAAGATTACAAGATGTAAACAAAAATCATTTAAGAAGTGGATAGAACCCATTACTGCAATATAGCTTCTTCAATGAGAACAAGGATATGTGGCCCAAATTTAAAATCTTACAGACAATAATCTACTTACTTTGACTTTGAGAATTCACTCAGTATCTCTACGTATGCATTCTCAAATATTTTAACACTCAAAAGAGTACTTGGGCCAATACGAAGAGAGTTGGTGGAGGCAAGAAGTTAAATACTTTTTTTTTTTTTTCTCTTTCTGAAAAAAATAAAAAAAAATGGTCACTTTCCACAGTAGCTCCAACATTTTAAATGAGCATTTGATGAACATAGATTAAGAAGAATTGAGGGACCTGCAATTTACAAAACCTCAAGTTGACATTTAAGAGATGGAGTGGGATTTGAAGTACCTGGTTTGGTCAGCCATCCTCTTGATTCCGGTGTCGATCTTTCTACTCTCCCGGAAGAAGTCATCATGTTCCTACAGACTACCTCCAGGACCGCCTGGGATGCCTGTTATTGGGAACATGTTGGATCTTGGAGCATTTCCACATCAAACAATAACGGAGATGAAAAACAAGTATGGTTCTGTGATTTGGTTAAGGATAGGCTCTGTCAGGACATGACAATGGAAAGTTTATGGGCATGACATACCTAAAGATACTCAAACTTCATAAATGTTTGGGAAATTGGAAGAGACCCTGAAAGCTGGGATGACCATTTGTCTTTCAAGCCTGAGAGGTTCCCGGGCTCAAATATAATTTCAAGAGTCAGAATTTTGACTCTTTGCCATTTGGTGCAGGCCAGAGGATGTGTGCAGGTCTCCAATTAAGTAACCGGTTGCTGCACTTTGTTTTGGGATCACTGCTTCATACATTTCACTGGGAACTTGAATGCAATATGGCTTCAGAATCTCTGGACAGGAAAGAATAAATGGGAATAAGAGTCAGAAGCTAGAAGTCTAAATAGTGCATTTGCATTGAGACCCATCATAACTTACCATGTACTATGCTGCTTTACTTGCTGAAGAATAAGCTCAGTGCACAGATTAGTATGAATATATTGATATAAAATCACATCATTCCATTGAAAACGCCACTAGTGCAGCAAGCTTTGGCTGCATGAAATCTCATGTAGCTATATGCACACAGGCCTTTATTCTACTATAAATAGTCATTACAATTTTATTTTTTGTGAAGAGATAAAAAAATCATTACAATTATTCAATCTAATAATAACATTATGCGACACTACCATATTATTTAAGTGATAACAGCATATAAAGAAGGAAACAAAATGGAGAAAGGAAAGGGACACAGGCAATCTTGCTAGCTTAGTGCAAAGGCGGCCAGCTTACTTATTTGTGATAAAAGGAGTCATAGCTTTATGTTATTTTATTGGTCAATGTTGAATTTGAAAGATGGAATGGCCAGGCGGGTGGAGAATAACACCACCTGCGAGTTAGGGAGAATGTATATAAAACTAAGATGTTATAATATATTCTATATTCTCTGTTTCTAATACAGAAACACAGTACATATATATACACAAAGACATAACTGTAAATAACTACCCATAACTTACACCTATTCTTAAACAGACACAACCCTATAGATAAACCTATCTATTTAGCTTTCAACACTCCCCCTCGAGCTGGAACATCTAGAAGTTCCAAGCTTGGATTAAAACATACACTCTACATTACAAATGAAGATTAAAAGCAGCTAGAGAATAACAGTGCTAGATGGCTTCGGAGGGACAATGCTATACACAATCCTTGGGAAAGAAGGCACCAGGGGCGATTAACACAAACACCCTCAAAGCAACATAAGCACTCCCTTGAGAAGCCGACGTCCGCGGTAGCTTACTCTAGATGGCTCACACTCCGGACTCTTCTCGGCACCAGGTAGCCCTTTTCCCCTTTGGATGGCTTCACTCCAGACCTTATCAAGTACCAAGTAGCCCTTTTCGAGGTCGCCCCCTCCGCTAGACCGGCACCGGATGAGTGGACGGCTTCACTCTGAATAGCTTTCACTCCGGACTCTTCTCGGTTTCCTTTGAACCTTATCAAGCAGCGGGTAGCCCTTTCCCACCACACTCCAGCCTCTCAACAAGAGCACCAAAGTAATGACAAATACATCCAAAGAGTGAAGTATGAATACCGAGAGCACCACATATGATTGTTGTTTATACCCCTTATAGGATAAGTGAATAACAAAAGAGGCTTCCGGAAATAAACAAAAGGTACCAAACTTGAAAACCCTAGGAATAAATATGGTATACCGAATACAGTTATACCAAAAAACCCCGGAAAGAAGTTGGCAACAAACCCGAAAAGCCTTAAAACTTCACCAACATGTCCAAAGAAGGGCAAAACAACAATCTGTAAAATTTTCACCGGAAAAATACATCATATGCACAGAAGGAATGGAGGAGAGCCGACGAGCAGAACTGGAGAGTTTCGCCAGAAAAAGCCGCCGGAGACAGCCTCACGTGCCGGCACGTGCGATCGGAGTCCGACAATGGCGTCGGCGCGTGGCGGAGGAGATGGCGATGCCGCTTGCTAGGTCAGGCTTGGCAGGAAATAGTAGAAGGGATGGGTGACACCAATTTGACAAAAAAAAACTCACCAAAAGCAAGTAATTTGAAAAATTAGGGTTTGCGTGAACAGTAACGTTACTTTTCATGGGATGAAAAACAATTTTGATGTTTGGAATTCTCTAGGAAAGTAGGCTATGATACCATGTTGAATTTGAAAGATGGAATGGCCTAGCGGGTGGAGAATAACACCACCCGCCAGTTAGGGAGAATGTATATAAAACTAATACAGAAACACAGTACATATATATACACAAAGACATAACTGTAAATAACTACCCATAACTTACACCTATTCATAAACAGACACAACCCTATAGATAAACCTATCTATTTAGCTTTCAACAGTCAACTAACTCAAAAGAAGTTCATAAGTTTTGTTTTATTAACAACGGCAAAATGCATAGTGCAGAGTTCGAGGTAGAGATTTAATCTTGTTGTGGGCACTAGTGTACAACCAACATCTCACGATTTAGCTTCTCCACCAAGGACGGGAACGATGAGAGATCAAACAAAGTGAAAATATCTTTGTCATAATAACAATTGAAAATAGTGCCAAAATTTCACAACCACAAAAATAATCGAAAATAATGAAAAAATTTCACATCACTGAAATAATTGGCATGTGGTACTAAAACAATTGACCGACAAACTTTGTCACTGTAAGGTACAATTATTTGGAAATTGGCATGTGGTACTAAAACAATTGACCCACAAACTTTGTCACTATAAGGTACAATTATTTGGAGGTGTATCATAAAAGACTTCACAAGATTTCTTGAATAAATTGTTACTGCACCTCCCAGTAATTCAACATAGACAAACCTGCAAATGTAGTGCACCAATATTGAATGGTAACTTTTTTTTCTTGCATAGAACATCCTTTTCTTCATTACTGTGAGATATATGGCCCCAGCCTGCTCACAATTGTACCAAGATGTCTGTTAAAAGTGAAATAAGAATGGTCAGTTCCCGGGGACCAGGGTAGCTACACAACTTTAAATGAACACAGATTAACAAGAATTTGAGTGACCTGCAAATTGCAAAACCTCAAAACTTTTAAGAGATGGAGTGGGAATGGAAGTACTTGGTTTGGTCTGCCATCTTCCTGATTCCGGGATTGGTCTTTCTACTCGCCCGGAAGAAGCCATCATGTTCCTACAGACTACCTCCAGGACCGCCTGGGTTGCCTGTTATTGGGAACATGATGGATCTTGGAGCAATTCCACATCAAACAATAGCGGAGATGAAAAACAAGTATGGTTCTGTGATTTGGTTAAGGATAGGGTCTGTGAGTACCATGGTAATTCTGTCTGCCAAGGCAGCTGCTGAGCTCTTCAAGAACCATGATGTCTCATTTGCAGATCGCAAAGTGATAGACGCCATGAAGGTGCAGGGCTACTATATGGGATCCTTGGTGTTTGCCCCGTATGGATCCTACTGGCGCGTGTTAAGGAGGATATGCACGGTGGAATTGTTCGTGCATAAGAGGATTAATGAAACAGTGCCTGTAAGGAGAAAATGCATTGATGACATGCTCCTATGGATAGAAAAGGAAGCGAATTCTATGCAGAGAGGGACTGGGGTTCATGTAGCACACTTTGTTTTCCTCTCAACATTTAACTTGTTGGGGAACCTATTTCTCTCTCGCGATTTGGTAGATCCTATGTCAGATAAAGCTTCAAAGTTTTTCGATGCCGTGACGGGCGTCGCACAGTGGTTTGGCACTCCAAACATTTCAGATATATTCCCAGGTCTTAGGTGGCTAGACTTGCAGGGTTTAAGAAGGAAGGCTGACAGAGATGTGAAAACAGCACTGGAAATTGTTTCTAAGTTTGTGAAGGAACGCATTAACAAAGACAGACAGGAGAGGGGAACGAGGAAAGATTTCTTGGATGTATTGCTCGAGTTTGAAGGCAATGGAAAGGATGAACCAGCCAAGCTATCAGAACATGAAAACAATATATTTGTAATGGTAAGTTCTTGCCAACTATTATCTATTATATTTGTTTTTTTATCTTGGCATGCTTCAGAAGTATATATTGCTAATCTAGTATGGACTATGGATCCTTGTTACATACTGAAAAGGAAACAGATCACAGGAAACTGACCGAAAATATATTGAGCAGAACTCCCTATTCGTCTATTCCAATTTCCTACCCCCCGTATTTTGGCACTGCAGGAAATGTTTTTCGGTGGTACAGAGACGACTAGCAGCAGTGTGGAATGGGCACTAAGTGAGCTCTTGTGTAACCCAAAAGCGATGGCCAAAGTCAAAGAAGAGATTTATGAAGTTGTAGGACCAAACAGGAGATTTGAGGAAAGTGATATTGATAATCTGCAGTACATGCAGGCAGTGGTCAAGGAAACACTACGTTTGCATCCCCCTGGTACTTTCTTAGTGCCAAGAAGAGCAATTCAAGATACTAAATTTATGGAGTATGACATACCTAAAGACACTCAAGTCTTCGTAAATGTTTGGGCAATTGGACGAGACCCTGAAAGCTGGGATGACCCTCTATCTTTCAAGCCTGAGAGATTTCTGGGCTCAAATATAGACTTCAAGGGGCAGGATTTTGAATTTCTACCATTTGGTGCAGGCCGGAGGATCTGTGTAGGCCTCTCGTTAGGTAACCGGATGATGCATTTCATTCTGGGATCGCTGCTCCATGCCTTCGACTGGGAGCTCGAATGCAATGTGACCTCACAGTCTCTGGACATTAAAGAAAGGATGGGAATAGTAGTTAGCAAATCTGAACCCCTGAAAGCAATACCAAAGAGAATTGTAGCTTGAAAGAAGTTACAAATCTAAATAGTGCATTTGCATTGAGACCTGTTATGACTTAGAATGTTCTATACTGTTTTACTTGCTGAATAATAATCTCAGTGCACATGCATGTAATATTGATCTGCTTGCAACTATATGATTTACTTATCATTATAATAATAATAGTTTTCAAGGCGATTTCTTGATCTATATTAAAGCAATAATCTACTCTACTTTTGATTTTTGAGATATCTCTCCATACACATTCTCAAACTTGTCAACAGACAGAAGAGTACCTGGGCCAATACGAACAGAATTGGTGGAGGCAATAAGAGTTTAAAAGTTGTTTTTTTTTTTCTTTTTCTGAATAAAAAATAAAAATGGTCACCTTCCATTGCTATCCTAGTATCCCATCAACAATTTTATAAACGCAAGGGGACCTTGGCATTTGCCCCATATGGATCCCACAGGCACGTGTTAAGGAGGATATGCACAGTGGAATTGTTCGTGCATAAGAGGGTCAAGGAAACAGGGCCTGTAAGGAGAAAATGCATTGATGACATGCTCCAATGGATAGAAAAGGAAGTGAATTCTATGAAGGGAGGAACTGGGGTTCATGTAGCACACTTTATTTTCCTATAAACATTTAACTTGTTGGGGAACCTATTTCATTCTCGCGATTTGGTAGATCCTGTGTCAGATAAAGCTTCAAAGTTTTTTGAAGCCGTGACAGGTGTTGCACAGTGGTTTGGGACTCCAAATATTTCAGACATGTTCCCAACTCTGAGACCCTGAATGCTGGGAGGACCCTCTATCTTTCAAGCCGGAGAGATTCCTGGGCTCAAATATAGACTTCAAGGGGCAGGATTTCGAATTTCTACCATTTGGTGCAGGCCGGAGGATTTGTGTCATTTCATTCTGCCATCACTGCTCCATGCCTTCGACTGGGACCTCGAATGCAGTGTGACCTCACAATCTCTGGACATGAAAGAAAGGATGGGAATAGCGGTTAGCAAATTTGAACCCCTGAAAGCAATACCAAGGAGTGTTATAGCTTGACAGAAGCTAGAAGTCTAAATAGTGCATTTGCATTCAGACCCATCATAACTTACAATGTACTATGCTGTTTTACTTTCTGAAGTGCACAGATTAGTATGAATATATTGATATAAAATCACATCATTCCATTGAAAACGCCACTAGTGCAGCAAACTTTGGTTGCATGAAATCTCATGTAGCTATATGCACACAGGTTTTTATCAATACAATAATTTATTCTGCTATAAAAAGTCATTACAATTATTCAATCTAATAATAACATTATACGACACTACCATCTAATTTAAGTGATAACATATAAAGAAGGAAACAAAATGGAGAAAGGAAAGGGACACAAGCAATCTTGCTAGCTTAGCGCAAAGGCGGCCAGCTTACTTATTTGTGATAAAAGGAGTCGTAGCTTTATGTTATTTTATTGGTAAACTAACTAAAAAGAAGTTCATAAGTTTTGTTTTATTAAGGTCAAAAAAAAAAAAAAAAAAAAAAAAAAAAGGCAAAATACATAGTGCAGATTTCGAGGTCGAAATTTAATCTTGTTGTGGGCACTAGTGTACAACCAACATCTCACGATTTAGCTTCTCCACCAAGGACGGGAACGATGAGAGATCAAACAAAGTGAAAATATCTTTGTCATAATAACAATTGAAAATAGTGCCAAAATTTCACAACCACAAAAATAATCGAAAATAATGAAAAAATTTCACATCACTGAAATAATTGGCATGTGGTACTAAAACAATTGACCCACAAACTTTGTCACTGTAAGGTACAATTATTTGGAAATTGGCATGTGGTACTAAAACAATTGACCCACAAACTTTGTCACTATAAGGTACAATTATTTGGAGGTGTATCATAAAAGACTTCACAAGATTTCTTGAATAAATTGTTACTGCACATCCAGTAATCCACATAGACAAACCTGCAAATGTAGTACACCAATATTGAATGGTAACTTTTTTTCTTGCATAGAATATCCGTTTCTTCATTACTGTGAGAATATGGCCCCAGTCTGCTCACAACAATTGTATCAAGATGTCTGTTAAAAGTGAAATAAGAATGGTCAGTTCCCGGGGACCAGGGTAGCTACACTACTTTAAATAAACACAGATTAACAAGAATTTGAGTGACCTGGAAATTGCAAAACCTCAAAAGTAAAAACTTTTAAGAGATGGAGTGGGAATGGAAGTACTTGGTTTGGTCTGCCATCTTCCTGATTCCGGGATTGGTCTTTCTACTCGCCCGGAAGAAGTCATCAAGTTCCTACAGACTACCTCCAGGACCGCCTGGGTTGCCTGTAATTGGGAACATGTTGGATCTTGGAGCATTTCCACATCAAACAATAGCGGAGATGAAAAACAAGTATGGTTCTGTGATTTGGTTAAGGATAGGCTCTGTCAGTACCATGGCAATTCTGTCTGCCAAGGCAGCTGCTGAGCTCTTCAAGAACCATGATGTCTCATTTGCAGATCGCACAGTGATAGACGTCATGAAGGTGCAGGGCTACTATATGGGATCCTTGGCGTTTGCCCCGTATGGATCCTACTGGCGCGTGTTAAGGAGGATATGCACGGTGGAATTGTTCGTGCATAAGAGGATTAATGAAACAGTGCCTGTAAGGAGAAAATGCATTGATGACATGCTCCTATGGATAGAAAAGGAAGCGAATTCTATGCAGAGAGGGACTGGGGTTCATGTAGCACACTTTGTTTTCCTCTCAACATTTAACTTGTTGGGGAACCTATTTCTCTCTCGCGATTTGGTAGATCCTATGTCAGATAAAGCTTCAAAGTTTTTCGATGCCGTGACGGGCGTCGCACAGTGGTTTGGCACTCCAAACATTTCAGATATATTCCCAGGTCTTAGGTGGCTAGACTTGCAGGGTTTAAGAAGGAAGGCTGACAGAGATGTGAAAACAGCACTGGAAATTGTTTCTAAGTTTGTGAAGGAACGCATTAACAAAGACAGACAGGAGAGGGGAACGAGGAAAGATTTCTTGGATGTATTGCTCGAGTTTGAAGGCAATGGAAAGGATGAACCAGCCAAGCTATCAGAACATGAAATCAATATATTTGTAATGGTAAGTTCTTTTGCCAACTATTATCTATTATATTTGTTTTTCATCTTGGCATGCAACAGAAGTATATATTGCTAATCTATTATGGGCTATGGATATTAGTTACATACGGAAAAGGAAACTGACCAAAAATATATTGAGTAGAATTCACTACTCCTGTTTCCTACCCCCTGGTATTTTGGTACTGCAGGAAATGTTTTTCGCTGGTACAGAGACGAGTAGCAGCATTGTGGAATGGGCACTAACTGAGCTCTTGTGTAACCCAACAGTGATGGCCAAAGTCAAAGACGAGATTTATGAAGTTGTAGGACCAAACCGGAGATTTGAGGAAAGTGATATTGATAATCTGCAGTACATGCAGGCAGTGGTCAAGGAAACACTACGTTTGCATCCCCCTGCTCCTCTCTTAGGGCCAAGAAGAGCAATTCAAGATACTAAATTTATGGAGTATGACATACCTAAAGACACTCAAGTCTTCGTAAATGTTTGGGCAATTGGACGAGACCCTGAAAGCTGGAATGACCCTCTAACTTTCAAACCTGAGAGATTTCTGGGCTCAAATATAGACTTCAAGGGGCAGGATTTTGAATTTCTACCATTTGGTGCAGGCCGGAGGATCTGTGTAGGCCTCCCGTTAGGTAACCGGATGGTGCATTTCATTCTGGGATCGCTGCTCCATGCCTTCGACTGGGAGCTCGAATGCAATGTGACCTCACAAACTGTGGACATGAAAGAAAGGATGGGAATGGTAGTTAGCAAATCTGAACCCCTGAAAGCAATACCAAGGAGAATTGTAGCTTGAAAGAATTTACAAGTCTAAATAGTGCATTTGCATTCAGACCTGTTATGACTTACCATGTATCTGTTTTACTTGCTGAAGAATAATCTCAGTGCACATGTATGTAATATTGATCTGCTTGCAACTATAAGATTTGCTTATCATTATAATAATAGTTTTATTGATCTGTATTAAAGCAATAATCCACTCTACTTCTGATTTTTGAGATATCTCTCAGTACACATTCTCAAACTGGTCAACAGACAGAAGATTACCTGGGCCAATACGAACAGAGTTGATTGAGGCAACAAGAGTTTTAAAAAAAATCTATATAAAAAATAAAAATGGTCACCTTCCGTTGTTATCCTAGTATCCCATCAACAATTTTATAAACACATATATCATAATGGAGTGTGAATGAAATAAAACATGTGATAGGTGAAATAAACATTAAATAGAGAAAATGATTCTTCAATAATTGTTTCTAGTGGTGTTGAATCGGTTAACTGAAACGTTTTAACCGAAGTTTTTTTAAAGCTTTAACTGTAACTGAACCGAACTTTGTATTACCGAATTAATCCAACCGAAGTTTTTTTCGGTTAATCGGTCAGTTAACCGATTAACCGAACTTTTTTAAACTAAAGTTTTAAATCCTAAAAATAATACATATAATAATAAATCCATAAGAAAATATGCAAAAACAATATCATAACAACATTACAAATTTATAGGGATTTTACATATTAGATTATATATATACTTATTTATATATTTAAAATTTCGGTTAACCGTTCGATTAACCGAAGTTTCCAACCGCCGTTAACCGAAATTTAAAAAAACCTTTAACCATTAACCGAACCGAAAAAGTTCGGTTAAAAAACGGTTAACCGAACTTTGTCAGTTCAGTTGGTTAATTGAAATTTTACCGAAGTGTGCACATGTTTCTATGTTTGCGAAGGAACGTATGAACGAAGACAGACATGACAATGGAAAGTTGATGGGCATGACATACCTAAATATACTCAAACTTCATAAATGTTTGGGCAATTGGAAGAGACCTTGAAAGCTGGGATGACCATTTGTCTTTCAAGCCTAAGAGATTCCCTGGCTCAAATATAGATTTCAAGGGTCAGAATTTTGAATTTCTGCCATTAGGAATAAATGCATTGATGACATGCTCTTATGGATAGAAAAGGAAGCAAATTCTGTGGAGAGAGGGACTGGGGTTCACGTAACACACTTTGTTTTCCTCTCAATATTAAACTTGTTGGGGAACCTAATTTTCTCTTGCGATTTGGTAGATCCCATGTCAGATAAAGCTTCAAAGTTTTTCAAAGCCGTGAAAGGCGTTGCACAGTGGTTTGGCACTCCAAACATTTCAGACATATTCCCAAGTCTTAGGTGGCTAGATTTGCAGGGTTTAAGAAGGAAAGCTGACAGAGATATGAGAACAGCATTGGAAATTGTTACTGTGTTTATCAAGGAACGTATGAATGAAGACCAGCAGGACAGTGGAAAGGGAAAAGATTTCGGCAATGGAAAGGATGAACCAGCCAAGCTATCAGAACATGAAATTAATATATTTATACTAGTAAGTTATTACTAACTATTAGCTAATTTGTTATTCATCTTGGCATGTTGTTTCAGAAGTACATTTTTAATATACTAAAAGTACATTATTTGTGACTTTTGTACTAAATGTACATTATTTAATACTATGGTCCACACAGCTATGTGGACCATTGATTTCCAAATTGGCATGTGGTACTAAAACAATTGACCCACAAACTTTGTCACTAATTGGCAAGTGGTACTAAAACAATTGACCACAAACTTTGTCACTATAAGGTACAATTATTTGGAGGTGTATCATAAAAGACTTTCCAAGATTGCTTGAATAAATTGTTACTGCACATCCCAGTAATTCAACATAGACAAACCTGGAAATGTAGTACACCAATATTGAATGGTAACTTTTTTTTTTCTTGCATAGAACATCCGTTTCTTCATTACTGTGAGATATATGGCCCCAGTCTGCTCACAATTGTATCAAGATGTCTGTTAAAAGTGAAATAAGAATAGTCAGTTCCCGGAGACCAGGGTAGCTACACTACTTTAAATGAACACAGATTAACAAGAATTTGAGTGACCTGCAAATTGCAAAACCTCAAAACTTTTAAGAGATGGAGTGGGAATGGAAGTACTTGGTTTGGTCTGCCATCTTCCTTATTCCGGGATTAGTCTTTCTACTTGGCTGGAAGAAGTCATCATGTTCCTACAGACTGCCACCAGGACCGCCTGGGTTGCCTGTTATTGGGAACATGTTGGATCTTGGAGCATTTCCACATCAAACAACAGCGGAGATGAAAAACAAGTATGGTTCTCTGATTTGGTTAAGGATAGGGTCTGTCAGTACCATGGTAATTCTGTCTGCCAAGGCAGCTGCTGAGCTCTTCAAGAACCACGATGTCTCATTTGCAGATCGCAAAGTGATAGACGCCATGAAGGTGCAGGGCTACCACAAGGGATCCTTGGCGATAGCCCCATATGGATCCTACTGGCGCATGTTAAGGAGGATATGCACGGTGGAATTGTTCGTGCATAAGAGGATAAATGAAACAGTGGCTGTTAGGAGAAAATGCATTGATGACATGCTGTTATGGATAGAAAAAGAAGCAAGTTCTGTGCAGAGAGGGACTGGGGTTCATGTAGCACATTTTGTTTTCCTCTCAACATTTAACTTGATGGGGAACCTATTTCTCTCTCGCGATTTGGTAGATCCTATGTCAGATAAAGCTTCAAAGTTTTTTTATGCCCTGACAGGCGTCACACAGTGGTTTGGCACTCCAAACATTTCAGACATATTCCCAGGTCTTAGGTGGCTAGACTTGCAGGGTTTAAGAAGGAAGGCTGACAGAGATGTGAGAACAACACTGGAAATTGTTTCTACGCTTGTGAAGGAACGCATGAACGAAGACAGACAGGAGAGTGGAAAGAGGAAAGATTTCTTGGATGTATTGCTCGAGTTTGAAGGCAATGGAAAGGATGAACCAGCCAAGCTATCAGAACAAGAAATCAATATATTTGTAACGGTAAGTTCTTGCCAACTATTATCTATTATATTTGTTTTTCATCTTGGCATGCTTCAGAAGCATATATTGCTAATCTAGTATGGACTATGAATCCTTGTTACATATTAAAAACGAAACAGATCACAGGAAACTGACCAAAAATATATTGAGCAGAATTCACTATTCCTATTTCCTACCCCCCCCCCCCCCCCCCCTTTTTTGGTACTGCAGGAAATGTTTTTCGCTGGTACAGAGACGACTAGCAGCAGTGTGGAATGGGCACTAAGTGAGCTCTTGTGTAACCCAAAAGCGATGGCCAAAGTCAAAGAAGAGATTTATGAAGTTGTAGGACCAAACCGGAGAATTGAGGAAAGTGATATTGATAATCTGCAATACATGCAGGCAGTGGTTAAAGAAACATTGCGTCTGCATCCCCCATTACCTTTCTTAATCCCAAGAAGAGCAATTCAAGATACTAAATTTATGGAGTATGACATACCTAAAGACACTCAAGTCTTCGTAAATGTTTGGGCAATTGGACGAGACCCTGAAAGCTGGGATGACCCTCTATCTTTCAAGCCGGAGAGATTCCTGGGCTCAAATATAGACTTCAAGGGGCAGGATTTTGAATTTCTACCATTTGGTGCAGGCCGGAGGATCTGTGTAGGCCTCCCATTAGGTAACCGGATGCTGCATTTCATTCTGGGATCGCTGCTCCATGCCTTCGACTGGGAGCTCGAATGCAATGTCACCTCACAATCTCTGGACATGAAAGAAAGGATGGGAATAGCAGTTAGCAAATCTGACCCCCTGAAAGCAATACCAAGGAGAATTGTAGCTTGAAATAAGTTACAAGTCTAAATACTGCATTTGCATTGAGACCTGTTATGACTTACCATGTATCTGTTTTACTTGCTGTAGAATAATCTCAGTGCACATGCATGTAATATTTTCCTTGCAACTATAAGATTTGCTTATCATTATAATAATAGTTTTCCAGGCGATTTCTTGATCTATATTAAAGCAATAAACTATTCTACTTTTTATTTTTGAGATATCTCTCCGTACACATTCTCAAACTTGTCAACAGACAGAAGAGTACCTGGGCCAATACGAACAGAATTGGTGGAGGCAATAAGAGTTTAAAAGTTGTTTTTTTTTTTTTTTTCTGAATAAAAAATAAAAAATGGTCACCTTCCATTGCTATCCTAGTATCCCATCAACAATTTTATAAACCATATATCATAATGGAGTGAATGAAATAAAACATGTGATAGGTGAAATAAATATTAAATAGAGAAAATGATTCTTAGAGATTAAGAATGATTCTTCAATAATTGTTTCTATGTTTGTGAAGGAACGTATGAACAAAGTCCGACATGACAATGGAAAGTTCATGGACATGACATACCTAAAGATACTCAAACTTCATAAATGTTTGGGAAATTGGAAGAGACCCTGAAAGCTGGGATGACCATTTGTCATTCAAGCCTGTGAGATTCCCGGGCTCAAATATAGATTTCAAGGGTCAGAATTTTGACTCTTACTTGAATGCAATATGGCTTCAGAATCTCTGGACAGGAAAAAATAAATGGGAATAAGAGTCAGAAGCTAGAAGTCTAAATAGTGCATTTGCGTTGAGACCCATCATAACTTACCATGTACTATGCTATTTTACTTGCTGAAGTGCACAGATTAGTATGAATATATTGAAATAAAATCACATCATTCCATTGACAACGCCACTAGTGCAGCAAGCTTTGGCTGCATGAAATCTCTAGCTATATGCACACAGGCCTTTATTCTACTATAAATAGTCATTACAATTTTATTTTTTCTGAAGAGATAAAAAATCATTACAATTATTCAATCTAATAATAACATTATGCGACACTACCATATTATTTAAGTGATAACAGCATATAAAGAAGGAAACGAAATGGAGAAAGGAAAGGGACACAGGCAATCTTGCTAGCTTAGCGCAAAGGCGGCCAGCTTACTTATTTGTGATAAAAGGAGTCGTAGCTTTATGTTACTTTATTGGTCAACTAACTCAAAAGAAGTTCATAAGTTTTGTTTTATTAACAACGGCAAAATGCATAGGCAGAGTTCGACGTAGAGATTTAATCTTGTTGTGGTCACTAGTGTACAACCAACATCTCACGATTTAGCTTCTCCACCAAGGACAGGAATGATGAGAGATCAAACATAGTGAAAATACCTTTGTCATAATAACAATTGAAATAGTGCCAAAATTTCACAACCACTAAAATAATCGAAAATAATGAAAAAATTTCACACCACTGAAATAATTGGCATGTGGTACTAAAACAATTAACCCACAAACTTTGTCACTGTAAGTTACAATTATTTGGTAATTGGCATGTGGTACTAAAAGAATTGACCCACAAACTTTGTCACTGTAAGGTACAATTAATTGGTAATTGGCATTTGGTACTAAAACAATTAACCCACAAACTTTGTCACTATAAGGTCAATTATTTGGAGGTGTATCATAAAAGACTTTCCAAGATTGCTTGAATAAATTGTTACTGCACATCCTAGTAATTCAACATAGACAAACCTGCAAATGTAGTGCACCAATATTGAATGGTAACTTTTTTTTCTTGCATAGAACATCCGTTTCTTCATTACTGTGAGATATATGGCCCCAGCCTGCTCACAATTGTACCAAGATGTCTGTTAAAAGTGAAATAAGAATGGTCAGTTCCCGGGGACCAGGGTAGCTACACAACTTTAAATGAACACAGATTAACAAGAATTTGAGTGACCTGCAAATTGCAAAACCTCAAAACTTTTAAGAGATGGAGTGGGAATGGAAGTACTTGGTTTGGTCTGCCATCTTCCTCATTCCGGGATTGGTCTTTCTACTCGCCCGGAAGAAGTCATCATGTTCCTACAGACTACCTCCAGGACCGCCTGGGTTGCCTGTTATTGGGAACATGTTGGATCTTGGAGCATTTCCACATCAAACAATAGCGGAGATGAAAAACAAGTATGGTTCTGTGATTTGGTTAAGGATAGGCTCTGTCAGTACCATGGCAATTCTGTCTGCCAAGGCAGCTGCTGAGCTCTTCAAGAACCACGATGTCTCATTTGCAGATCGCAAAGTGATAGACGCCATGAAGGTGCAGGGCTACCACAAGGGATCCTTGGTGTTGGCCCCGTATGGATCCTACTGGCGCATGTTAAGGAGGATAGGCACAGTGGAATTGTTCATGCATAAGAGGATAAATGAAACAGTGGCTGTTAGGAGAAAATGCATTGATGACATGCTGTTATGGATAGAAAAAGAAGCAAGTTCTGTGCAGAGAGGGACTGGGGTTCATGTAGCACATTTTGTTTTCCTCTCAACATTTAACTTGATGGGGAACCTATTTCTCTCTCGCGATTAGGTAGATCCTACGTCAGATAAAGCTTCAAAGTTTTTCAATGCCCTGACAGGCGTCGCACAGTGGTTTGGCACTCCAAACATTTCAGACATATTCCCAGCTCTTAGGTGGCTAGACTTGCAGGGTTTAAGATGGAAGGCTGGCAGAGATGTGAGAACAGCACTGGAAATTGTTTCTACGCTTCTGAAGGAACGCATGAACGAAGACAGACAGGAGAGTGGAAAGAGGAAAGATTTCTTGGATGTATTGCTCGAGTTTGAAGGCAATAGAAAAGATGAACCAGCCAAGCTATCAGAACATGAAATCAATATATTTGTAACGGTAAGTTCTTGCCAACTATTATCTATTATATTTAGTTTTCATCTTGGCATGCTTCAGAAGTATATATTTCTAATCTAGTATGGACTATGGATCCTTGTTACATACTAAAAAGGAAACAGATCACAGGAAACTGACCAGAATTCACTATTCCTATTTCCTTACCCCCCCCCCCCCCCCCCCCCCCATTTTGGTACTGCAGGAAATGTTTTTCGCTGGTACAGAGACGACTAGCAGCAGTGTGGAATGGGCACTAAGTGAGCTCTTGTGTAACCGAAAAGCGATGGCCAAAGTCAAAGAAGAGATTTATGAAGTTGTAGGACCAAATCAGAGATTTGAGGAAAGTGATATTGATAATATGCAGTACATGCAGGCAGTGGTTAAAGAAACACTGCGTCTGCATCCCCCAGCACCTTTCTTGATCCCAAGAAGAGCAATTCAAGATACTAAATTTATGGAGTATGACATACCTAAAGACACCCAAGTTTTCGTAAATGTTTGGGCAATTGGACGAGACCCTGAAAGCTGGGATGACCCTCTATCTTTCAAGCCTGAGAGGTTCCTGGGCTCAAATATAGACTTCAAGGGGCAGGATTTCGATTTTCTACCATTTGGTGCAGGCCGGAGGATTTGTGTAGGCCTCCCGTTAGGTAACCGGATGCTGCATTTCATTCTGGGATCGCTGCTCCATGCCTTCGACTGGGAGCTCGAATGCAAAGTGACCTCACAATCTCTGGACATGAAAGAAAGCATGGGAGTAGTAGTTAGCAAATCTGAACCCCTGAAAGCAATACCAAGGAGAATTGTAGCTTGAAAGAAGTTACAAGGAGTTAATGCCATAAGAGGTCCGATATAGTGGTTTTTCACGTTTAGTCCTAAACTTTTAAATTGACCAACCGTGGTTCTTCGACTTTCAAATTGTTACCATCTGTGGTCCAAGTTAACCACCCATGGTCTTCAACTTTCAAAATTTAACCAGTCATGATCCTCTTAGAAGGATCATGGGTGGTTAAAATTTGATAGTTGAAGGACCATTGCTGGTTAACTTGGACCAAAGATGGTAACAATTTGAAAGTCGATAGACCATGGATGATCAATTTGAAAGTTTAGGACTAAACATGGCAAAACCACTATACTCGGAGGACCACAGATGGTATTAACTCAAGTTACAAGTCTAAATAGTGCATTTGCATTGAGACCTGTTATGACTTACCATGTACTATACTGTTTTACTTGCTGAAGAATAATCTTAGTGCACATGCATGTAATATTCTGCTTGCACCTATAAGATTTGCTTATCATTATAATAATAGTTTTCAAGGCGATTTCTTGATCAATATTAAAGCAATAATCAACTCTACTTTTGATTTTTGAGATATCTCTCCGTACACATTCTCAAACTTGTCAACAGACAGAAGAGTACCTGGGCCAATACGAACAGAATTGGTGTAGGCAATAAGAGTTCAAAAGTTAATTTTTTTTTTTTTTCTGAATAAAAAATAAAAATGGTCACCTTCCATTGCTATCCTAGTATCCCATCAACAATTTTATAAACCATATATCATAATGGAGTGAATGAAATAAAACATGTGATAGGTGATATAAATATTAAATAGAGAAAATGATTCTTAGAGATTAAGAATGATTCTTCAACAATTGTTTCTATGTATGTGAAGGGACGTATGAACGAAGTCCGACATGACAATGGAAAGTTTATGGGCATGACATACCTAAAGATACTCAAACTTCATAAATGTTCGGCAATTGGAAGAGACCCTGAAAGCTGGGTTGACCATTTGTCTTTCAAGCCTGAGAGATTCCCGGGCTCCAACATAGATTTCAAGGGTCAGAATTTTTAATTTCTGCCATTTGGTGCAGGCCGAAGGTGTGTGCAGGTCTCCCATTAAGAAACCGGATGCTGCACTTTGTTTTGGGATTACTGCTTCATACACTTGACTGGGAACTTGAATGCAATATGACCTCAGAATCTCTGGACAGGCAAGAAAGAATGGGAATAAGAGTTAGAAAATTAATTGCTAATCATTATAATTTACCTCCACATAGTATTATATTATTACTCCATAATTATATTTATATAAGCTACATTTAGAGAAAAGATACAAGATGTAAATAAAAATCACTTAAGAATTGGATAGAACCCATTACTGCAAGTTAACTTCTTCAATGAGATTTGGTGGAGGCAAGAAGTTATATATATATATATATATATATATATATATATATATATATATATATATATATATATATATATTATTTTGTTTCTTTCTGAATAAAATAAAAAAGGGTCACTTTCCACAGTAGCTCCTCCACTTTAAATGAGCATTTGATGAACATAGATAACAAGAATTGAGAGACCTGCAATTTTAAAAACCTATGTGTGTGTGTGTGTGTGTATATATATATATATATATATATATATATATATATATATATATATATATATTATTTTGTTTCTTTCTGAATAAAATAAAAAAGGGTCACTTTCCACAGTAGCTCCTCCACTTTAAATGAGCATTTGATGAGCATAGATAACAAGAATTGAGAGACCTGCAATTTTAAAAACCTCAAGTTGACATTTAAGAGATGGAGTGGGAATGGAAGTACTTGGTTTGGTCTGCCATCTTCCTGATTCCAGGATTGGTCTTTCTACTCGCCCGGAAGAAGTCATCATGTTCCTACAGACTACCTCCAGGACCGCCTGGGTTGCCTGTTATTGGGAACATGTTGGAACTAGGAGCATTTCCACATCAAACAATAGCGGAGATGAAAAACAAGTATGGTTCTGTGATTTGGTTAAGGATAGGCTCTGTCAGTACCATGGCAATTCTGTCTGCCAAGGCAGCTGCTGAGCTCTTCAAGAACCACGATGTCTCATTTGCAGATCGCAAAGTGATAGACGCCATGAAGGTGCAGGGCTACCACAAGGGAGCCTTGGCGTTTGCCCCGTATGGATCCTACTGGCGCGTGTTAAGGAGGATATGCACGGTAGAATTGTTCGTGCATAAGAGGATTAACGAAACAGTGCCTGTTAGGAGAAAATGCATTGATGACATGTTGTTATGGATAGAAAATGAAGCAAGTTCTGTGCAGAGAGGGACTGGGGTTCATGTAGCACATTTTGTTTTCCTCTCAACATTTAACTTGTTGGGGAACCTAATTCTCTCTCGCGATTTGGTAGATCCTATGTCAGATAAAGCATCAAAGTTTTTCGATGCCATGACAGGCATCATGCAGTGGTTTGGCACTCCAAACATTTCAGACATATTCCCAGGTCTTAGGTGGCTAGATTTGCAGGGTTTAAGAAGGAAGGCTGACAGAGATGTGAGAACAACACTGGAAATTGTTTCTACGCTTGTGAAGGAACGCATGAACGAAGACAGACAGGAGAGTGGAAAGAGGAAAGATTTCTTGGATGTATTGCTCGAGTTTGAAGGCAATGGAAAGGATGAACCAGCCAAGCTATCAGAACATGAAATCAATATATTTGTAATGGTAAGTTCTTGCCAACTATTATCTATTATATTTGTTTTTCATCTTGGCATGCTTGATGCTTCAAAAGTATAAATTGCTAATCTAGTATGGACTATGGATCCTTGTTACATACTGAAAAGGAAACTGACCGAAAATATATTGAGCAGAATTCACTATTCCTATTTCCTACCCCTGTATTTTGGTACTGCAGGAAATGTTTTTCGGTGGTACAGAAACGACTAGCAGCAGTGTGGAATGGGCACTAACTGAGCTCTTGTGTAACCCAAAAGCGATGGTCAAAGTCAAAGAAGAGATTTATGAAGTTGTAGGACCAAACCGGAGATTTGAGGAAAGTGATATTGATAATCTGCAGTACATGCAGGCAGTGGTCAAGGAAACAATACGTTTGCATCCCCCTGCTCCTCTCTTAGCGCCAAGAAGAGCAATTCAAGATACTAAATTTATGGAGTATGACATACCTAAAGACACTCAAGTCTTTGTAAATGTTTGGGCAATTGGACGAGACCCTGAAAGCTGGGATGACCCTCTATCTTTCAAGCCGGAGAGATTCCTGGGCTCAAATATACACTTCAAGGGGCAGGATTTTGAATTTCTACCATTTGGTGCAGGCCGGAGGATCTGTGTAGGCCTTCCGTTAGGTAACCGGATGCTGCATTTCATTCTGGGATCGCTGCTCCATGCCTTCGACTGGGAGCTCGAATGCAATGTGACCTCACAATCTCTGGACATGAAAGAAAGGATGGGAGTAGCAGTTAGCAAATCTGAACCCCTGAAAGCAATACCAAGGAGAATTGGAGCTTGAAAGAAGTTACAAGTTTACAAGTCTAAATAGTGCAATTGCATTGAGACCTGTTATGACTTGTACTATTTTACTTGCTGACGAATAATCTTAGTGCACATGCATGTAATAATGTAATATTGATCTGCTTTGAACTATAAGATTTGCTAATCATTATAATAATAGTTTTCCAGGTGATTTCTTGATCTGTATTAAAGCAATAATCTACTCTACTTTTGATTTTTGTGATATCTCTCCGTACACATTCTCAAACTTGTCAACAGACAGAAGAGTACATAGGCCAATACAAACAGAGTTGGTGGAGGCAATAAGAGTTTAAAATATTTTTTTTCTGAATAAAAAATAAAAATATCCCAGCAACAATTTTATAAATGCATATATCATAATGGTGTGTGAATGAAATAAAACATGTGATAGGTGAAACAAATATTAAATAGAGAAAATGATTCATCAATAATTGTTTCTATGTTTGTGAAGGAACGTATGAATGAAGTCCAACATGACAATGGAAAGTTTATGGGTCAGAATACCTAAAGATACTCAAACTTCATAAATGTTTGGGCAATTGGAAGAGACCCTGAAAGCTGGGTTGACTATTTGTCCTTCAAGCCTGAGAGATTCCCGGGCTCAAATATAGATTTCAAGGGTCAGAATTTTTAATTTCTGCCATTTGGTGCAGGCCGGAGGTGTGTGCAGGTCTCCCATTAAGTAACCGGATGCTGCACTTTGTTTTGGGATCACTGCTTCATACATTTGACTGGGAACTTGAATGCAATATGACCTCAGAATCTCTGGACAGGCAAGAAAGAATGGGAATAAGAGTCAGAAAATTAATTGCTAATCATTATAATATACCTCCACATAGTATTATATTATTACTCCATAATTATATTTGTATAAGCTACATTTAGAGAAAAGATACAAGATGTAAACAAAAATCACTTAAGAATTGGATAGAACCAATTACTGCAAGTTAACTTCTTCAATGAGATTTGGTGGAGGCAAGAAGAAGTTAAATATATATATATATATATATATATATATATATATATATATATATATATTGTTTCCTTCTGAATAAAATAAAAAAGGGTCACTTTCCACAGTAGCTCCTCCACTTTAAATGAGCATTTGATGAACATAGATAACAAGAATTGAGAGACCTGCAATTTGAAAAACCTCAAGTTGACATTTAAGAGATGGAGTGGGATTTGAAGTACCTGGTTTGGTCAGCCATCCTCTTGATTCCAGCGTTGATCGTTCTACTCTCCCGGAAGAAGTCATTATGTTCCTACAGACTGCCTCCAGGACCGGCTGGGTTGCCTGTTATTGGGAACATGTTGGATCTTGGAGCATTTCCACACCAAAAAATAACGGAGATGAAAAACAAGTATGGTTCTGTGATTTGGTTAAGGATAGGCTCTGTCAGTACCATGGCAATTCTGTCTGCCAAGGCAGCTGCTGAGCTCTTCAAGAACCACGATGTCTCATTTGCAGATCGCAAAGTGATAGACGCCATGAAGGTGCAGGGCTACCACAAGGGATCCTTGGCATTTGCCCCGTATGGATCCTACTGGCGCGTGTTAAAGAGGATATGCACGGTGGAATTGTTCGTGCATAAGAGGATTAATGAAAAAGTGGCTGTTAGGAGAAAATGCATTGATGACATGCTGTTATAGATAGAAAAAGAAGCAGGTTCTGTGCAGAGAGGGACTGGGGTTCATGTAGCACACTTTGTTTTCCTCTTAACATTTAACTTGTTGGGGAACCTATTTCTCTCTCGCGATTTGGTAGATCCTACGTCAGATAAAGCTTCAAAGTTTTTCGATGCCATGACAGGCGTCATACAGTGCTTTGGCACTCCAAACATTTCAGACATATTCCCAGGTCTTAGGTGGCTAGACTTGCAGGGTTTAAGAAGGAAGGCTGACAGAGATGTGAGAACAACACTGGAAATTGTTTCTACGCTTGTGAAGGAACGAAAGAACGAAGACAGACAGGAGAGTGGAAAGAGGAAAGATTTCTTGGATGTATTGCTCGAGTTTGAAGGCAATGGAAAGGATTTACCAGCCAAGCTATCAGAACATGAAATCAATATATTTGTAATGGTAAGTTCTTGCCAACTATTATCTATTATATTTGTTTTTCATCTTGGCATGCTTGATGCTTCAGAAGTATAAATTGCTAATCTAGTATGGACTATGGATCCTCGTTACATACTGAAAAGGAAACTGACCGAAAATATATTGAGCAGAATTCACTATTCCTATTTCCTACCCCTGTATTTTGGTACTGCAGGAAATGTTTTTCGGTGGTACAGAGACGACTAGCAGCAGTGTGGAATGGGCACTAACTGAGCTCTTGTGTAACCCAACAGTGATGGCCAAAGTCAAAGAAGAGATTTATGAAGTTGTAGGACCAAACCGGAGATTTGAGGAAAGTGATATTGATAATCTGCAGTACATGCAGGCAGTGGTCAAGGAAACACTACGTTTGCATCCCCCTGCTCCTTTCTTAGGGCCAAGAAGAGCAATTCAAGATACTAAATTTATGGAGTACGGCATACCTAAAGACACTCAAGTCTTCGTAAATGTTTGGGCAATTGGACGAGGCCCTGAAAGCTGGGATGACCCTCTATCTTTCAAGCCTGAGAGGTTCCTGGGCTCAAACATAGACTTCAAGGGGCAGGATTTTGAATTTCTACCATTTGGTGCAGGCCGGAGGATCTGTGTAGGCCTCCCGTTAGGTAACCGGATGCTGCATTTCATTCTAGGATCGCTGCTCCATGCCTTCGACTGGGATCTCGAATGCAATGTGACCTCACAATCTCTGGACATGAAAGAAAGGATGGGAATAGCAGTTAGCAAATCTGAACCCCTGAAAGCAATACCAAGGAGAATTGTAGCTTGAAAGAAGTTACAAGTCTAAATAGTGCATTTACATTCAGACCTGTTATAACTTATACTGTTTTACTTGCTGAAGAATAATCTCAGTGCACATGCATGTAATAATGTAATATTGATCTGCTTGCAACTATAAGATTTGCTTATCATTATAATAATAGTTTTCCTGGCGATTTTTGATCTGTATTAAAGCAATAATCTACTCTACTTTTGATTTTTGAGATGTCTCTCAGTAAACATTCTCAAACTGGTCAACAGACAGAAGAGTACATGGACCAATACGAACAGAGTTGGAGGCAATAAGAGTTTTAAAAAAAATCTGAATAAAAAATAAAAATGGTCATCTTCCATTGCTATCCTAGTATCCCATCAACAATTTTATAAACGCAAGTGGACCTTGGGATTTGCCCCATATGGATCCCACTGGTGCGTGTTAAGGAGGATATGCACAGTGGAATTGTTCGTGCATAAGAGGGTCTAGGAAACAGTGCCTGTAAGGAGAAAATGCATTGATGACATGCTCCAATGGATAGAAAAGGAAGCGAATTCTATGAAGGGAGGAACTGGGGTTCATGTAGCACACTTTGTTTTCCTATCAACATTTAGCATGTTGGGGAACCTATTTCTTTCTCGCGATTTGGTAGACTTCAAGGGGCAGGATTTCGAATTTCTACCATTTGGTGCAGGCCGGAGGATTTGTGTCATTTCATTCTGCGATCACTGCTCCATGCCTTTGACTGGGACCTCGAATGCAGTGTGACCTCACAATCTCTGGACATGAAAGAAAGGATGGGAATAGCGGTTAGCAAATTTGAACCCCTGAAAGCAATACCAAGGAGTGTTATAGCTTGACAGAAGCTAGAAGTCTAAATAGTGCATTTGCATTGAGACCCATCATAACTTACCATGTACTATGCTGTTTTACTTGCTGAAGAATAAGCTCAGCGCACAGATTAGTATGAATATATTGATATAAAATCACATCATTCCATTGAAAACGCCACTAGTGCAGCAAGTTTTGGTTGCATGAAATCTCATGTAGCTATATGCACACAGGTTTTTATCAAAACAATAATTTATTCTACTATAAAAAGTCATTACAATTATTCAATTCAATCTAATAATAACATTATACGACACTACCATATTATTTAAGTGATAACAGCACATAAAGAAGGAAACGAAATGGAGAAAGGAAAGGGACACGGGCAATCTTGCTAGCTTAGTGCAAAGGCGGCCAGCTTACTTATTGATAAAAGGAGTCGTAGCTTTATGTTATTTTATTGGTCAACTAACTCAAAAGAAGTTCATAAGTTTTGTTTTATTAACAACGGCAAAATGCATAGTGCAGAGTTCGAGGTAGAAATTTAATCTTGTTGTGGGCACTAGTGTACAACCAACATCCCACGATTTAGCTTCTCCACCAAGGACGGTAACATGAGAGATCAAACATAGTGAAAATATCTTTGTCGTAATAACAATTGAAAATAGTGCCAAATTTTCACAACCAATAAAATAATCGAAAATAATGAAAAGATTTCACACCACTGAAATAATGGGCATGTGGTCCTAAAACAATTGACCCACAAACTTTGTCACTATAAGGTACAATTATTTGGTTATTGGCATGTGGTACTAAAACAATAGACCCACAAACTTTGTCAATATAAGGTACAATTATTTGGAGGTGTATCATAAAAGATTTTCCAAGATTGCTTGAATAAATTGTTACTGCACATCCCAGTAATTCAACAGACAAACCTGCAAATGTAGTACACAATATTGAATGGTAACTCTTTTTTCTTGCATAGAACATCCGTTTCATCATTACTGTGAGAATATGGCCCCAGTCGGCTAACAATTGTATCAAGATGTCTGTTAAAAGTGAAATAAGAATGGTCAGTTCCCGGGGACCAGGGTAGCAACACTACTTTAAATGAACACAGATTAACAAGAATTTGAGTGACCTGCAAATTGCAAAACCTCAAAACATTTAAGAGATGGAGTGGGAATGGAAGTACTTGGTTTGGTCTGCCATCTTCCTCATTCCGGGATTGCTCTTTCTACTCGCCCGGAAGAAGTCATCAAGTTCCTACAGACTACCTCCAGGACCGCCTGGGTTGCCTGTTATTGGGAACATGTTGGATCTTGGAGCATTTCCACATCAAACAATAGCGGAGATGAAAAACAAGTATGGTTCTGTGATTTGGTTAAGGATAGGCTCTGTCAGTACCATGGCAATTCTGTCTGCCAAGGCAGCTGCTGAGCTCTTCAAGAACCATGATGTCTCATTTGCAGATCGCAAAGTGTTAGACGCCATGAAGGTGCAGGGCTACCACAAGGGATCCTTGGTGTTGGCCCCGTATGGATCCTACTGGCGCATGTTAAGGAGGATATGCACAGTGGAATTGTTCGTGCATAAGAGGATAAATGAAACAGTGGCTGTTAGGAGAAAATGCATTGATGACATGCTGTTATGGATAGAAAAAGAAGCAAGTTCTGTGCAGAGAGGGACTGGGGTTCATGTGGCACATTTTGTTTTCCTCTCAACATTTAACTTGTTGGGGAACCTATTTCTCTCTCGCGATTTGGTAGATCCTATGTCAGATAAAGCTTCAAAGTTTTTCGATGCCCTGACAGGCCTCGCACAGTGGTTTGGCACTCCAAACATTTCAGACATATTCCCAGGTCTTAGGTGGCTAGACTTGCAGGGTTTAAGAAGGAAGGCTAACAGAGATGTGAGAACAGCAATGGAAATTGTTTCTACGCTTCTGAAGGAACGCATGAACGAAGACAGACAGGAGAGTGGAAAGAGGAAAGATTTCTTGGATGTATTGCTCGAGTTTGAAGGCAATAGAAAAGATGAACCAGCCAAGCTATCAGAACATGAAATCAATATATTTGTAACGGTAAGTTCTTGCCAACTATTATCTATTATATTTAGTTTTCATCTTGGCATGCTTCAGAAGTATATATTTCTAATCTAGTATGGACTATGGATCCTTGTTACATACTAAAAAGGAAACTGATCGAAAATATATTGAGCAGAATTGACTATTCCTATTTCCTACCCCCCGGTATTTTGGCACTGCAGGAAATGTTTTTCGCTGGTACAGAGACGACTAGCAGCAGTGTGGAATGGGCACTAAGTGAGCTCTTGTGTAACCCAAAAGCGATGGCCAAAGTCAAAGAAGAGATTTATGAAGTTGTAGGACCAAACCGGAGATTTGAGGAAAGTGATATTGATAATCTGCAGTACATGCAGGCAGTGGTCAAGGAAACACTACGTTTGCATCCCCCTGCTGCTTTCTTAGTGCCAAGAAGAGCAATTCAAGATACTAAATTTATGGAGTATGACATACCTAAAGACACCCAAGTCTTCGTAAATGTTTGGGCAATTGGACGAGACCCTGAAAGCTGGGATGACCCTCTATCTTTCAAGCCTGAGAGGTTCCTGGGCTCAAATATAGACTTCAAGGGGCAGGATTTTGAATTTCTACCATTTGGTGCAGGCCGGAGGATTTGTGTAGGCCTCCCGTTAGGTAACCGGATGCTGCATTTCATTCTAGGATCGCTGCTCCATGCCTTCGACTGGGAGCTCGAATGCAATGTGACCTCACAATCTCTGGACATGAAAGAAAGGATGGGAGTAGCAGTTAGCAAATCTGAGCCCCTGAAAGCAATACCAAGGAGAATTGTAGCTTGAAAGAAGTTACGAGTCTAAATAGTGCATTTGCATTGAGACCTGTTATGACTTACCATGTATCTGTTTTACTTGCTGAAGAATAAGCTCAGTGCACAGATTAGTATGAATATATATATTGATATAAAATCACATCATTCCATTGAAAACGCCACTAGTGCAGCAAGCTTTGGCTGCACGAAATCTCATGTAGCTATATGCACACAGGCCTTTATCAAATAACAAAATTATATTATTACTCCATATGTTATATTCTTATGAGCTACATTTACAGAAACGATTACAAGATGTAAACAAAAATCACTTAAAGAGTGTGAGAAATGTTATCCTCGTGGAGAATATAATCATTGCAAACTCTACTATGGCAAAACTCCGCGATGTTCTTACTATTAACTTTGATCATATTTTGAGAGGTAATTCAGACCAAGAAGAAGCTCGATGATTGTTGCTTCAGTCTTGGCTTTGCTGCCAAAGTAGAGGGTCTGCACAAGAAGCACATTTGTCCGAGAAGTCATTTGATGCTTCTCAACGTTTCTCTCAGAATGCCACCTCACTGTATTCTGAGCAAGTGGAGATAACCATTCTAATATCCTTGCCAGTGCCAAACCCCAGTCTGCAGCAAGGGCTGGATCATAAATAGATGAAGCTGATTTCTTAGAGAACGGCCTTAACAACGCCCTCAGGGTGGTTTTGACACTTGCAGGCAACATATTGTATAGGTCATCTCTAGCGTCGAGGCTGATCAATTGAGGTGAAGAAGCTAACTTCTCAATAAGTATGATAATATTTGCATAGTGGAGAGCCAAGGCAGTAAAACCAAGAGTTGATGGCGGGGCAACTAACAGCTTACGCTTGAAATTGAAAAAAGTTGTTTTTGCACACTTGCACGAGGCAGCAAGTACATTCGTTTCATCAAATGTACCAGCAACTCCTTGAGAACGGCTATCGGGCCTAGAAATTCCACTATTTGATGGTGCATAGCCATCTATAGCAGGCGAATAACTACCAGCCTTCATGCACACTCCAAAAGATCCAATAGAAGCAAGTTGTCTGGATCTCATTTGTGATGGCTTTCCACGACGAACAGATGACTGACGTGTAAGCAATTCCCTATTGTTCGATTGATTCTTGTCACCATCAAGCCCCAGATTTGAAAATGACTTCCCAAGAGGTCCTGAATAGACTCTGGACATGTTATTTTCAGATGGATAAACCGAAGATTGCAACATGACAGATACAGAGCGATTGTGTGCAAAAGAATTATTGTGGAAATCCTCAAATTGATTGCTTCCTTCACCATTGCCTATCTGGTTTATGCCAAAAGCAAATTTAATCCTCATAATTATTGTAAAAATAGATCTGAACAAAAGCCGAACAATATAGTCATATGTTCTAACCCAAGGCGACATTTCTTGAAGATTCTTGACTTCCTGGCGTTGCAACATAACCGTCTGTTGAAACTCGAGCAATTTCAGTTGACTTGGATTAGAACCAGACTTTAATCGCCTCAAAGTGTGTTCATGCTCTCCAAGAACTTCAATCTCTTGATACAACTGATTAGTGGCTGCAACAAATCTTTCCATTTTCTTAACCTTCCTCTCCATCTTCTTCAGTCTATATCGCCACACAGACCAACTAAGATCCATCTCAAATGAGGCATCGAAAATTTGGTCAAGGTTTTGATACACAGGATCTGTGCATCTCCTCCCAAGCCTCACCACTGATTTTGCCAGACATTCTAAATTCCCAATTATCTCAGCTAAAGCTAGATCCATGAGGTATTCATCATCTTCAGAGACAAGCCTCTGAATTCCAGGTGAATTTGCAATATCTTCTCTTAATCTAGCAATTTGGGCATCGCTTACCAACTGCCACAAGTTAATCACCTTAGACATCATAGTTGCAACTTCAAATGCCAAAATACCAATCTTGGACCTCTTGGGCTCCAATACTGAACCCTTCCTTGGAGGTCTCAGAATATTGGTAAGCCATGAATCAGAGGTTGTCTCAGCCACCATCATAACAGAAATATATTTGTTGGGGAGGTTTTAACTTAAAACCTTAATGAGTATGAAAATCCTGTAACTGAAAATAATTAAAAAGGATTAATTGTGAACAGAAATCTCCAGCATATAAAATCTAATTAGCATGCACATGTTTCATGCCTAGGATTAACTTGCAGAGTTGCCAAAAACCATGTTTGGCATCCTAAAATGAAAACTACTTTTTATCACATTCCTTTCTTCTATGTGGGGATATGAGATCTTAAAAATCAGTTATAATGAAGAGCTTAATAGCCATGATTTACCCTCTGCCCAATCAAGCCAGGAATTTCGCCTTTTGTGGGCAATAAAAGTGCAGCAAATAAATTAAAAAATCTCTGATTTTTGCCTCAAATGTATGGATATGGAATCTATGCATGCTATCTGTAAAAGGATGAGCAATAATAGCATAAAGACTCAATTTTTATCAACTTTCTTGACTGAGGAGGATAAGAACAGTAACGCGACCAGAGAACCAGTAAAAATTCAAGCAATAAGATTATGGGCACACCGTAAATTCAAAGAAGATCGGTCTCTCCGAGCTCCCAAGCAACATCGACCGTTCAGGTGGCAGAGAAAGATGCTCCGCCGGCCGGAGCAAAAGTTAAAAAAGCGGGGCAGCGGAAGAGTACCAGAAAGCCAATGAGGGACGAGGTTTATGAGCTGAGCATTTTAGCACCAATAATGGCGGGTTGGCAGTGCATAAAAGGGGCAACTCGAAAGCGAGCCACCGGAGAGTCCTAGGTAATGAAAATGGAAAGCATTCGGATGTCTACGTTTGTACAGAGTATTATGCTGCTTCTTGATGTTTCCTAGCTACGGCCATTTTTGGCTGCTTTCCCCGTATCTCCCTCGGTATTAGTTCGCATACAAAGATCCTTTGTTGTTCGACCATGTTGTCAGGTTACTCGGACTAGATTTTGGCCTTGTAAATGGAGAGATACCGGGCATATTATGCAACATCACAAAGTTTACAAAGTGTCATTTTAGTATGCTTATTCTAATTCTTGATTTACTTTAAAAAGAAAATGTTTGTTTATTTTTTTAATATTGACTCTGTTATAAAGTAGTATCTATTCATATATTTTTATACAAATAAACAACACTGTATTTATAAATACCTATGACCTCTCATTTGATAATGCAACAATACTGTATATAGTGATTGGCTCTTTTAATTTCTTCATGTGAATATCTAACCTGTTCATTTTGATTTATAAAAAAATTCTTAACCTCTACTCAAATATATATATATATATATATTAAGTGAAATAAGGGTCAAATAAGCCACTCAATTGCACAACAAAATGCAATTAGGCCATTGAATTCAAAAAGAATGCAATTAAGCCATTGAACAACACAAAAACATGCAATTTAACCCAAAATAACTTGTTTACCTAGAGTAGCAAGTTACCAATTTTAAAATTAATTTTTTAAAATAACTTTTAATAAATAAATAATTAAAATATTTTTATTAAAAAAAAAAAAAAACAGAAACTTCTGGCTGGAGACGAATCGTCTCCGGCCGGCTTTGTCTCCGTGGCTGGAGACGAACCTCCGTCTCCAGCCATGGAGACAAAGACCTTCGTCTCCATGGCTATGGAGACGAAAGTCCCTTCGTCTCCAGCCATGGAGACGACGTCCTTCGTCTCCATGGCCAAGGAGACGAAGGTCTTTGTCTCCACCTCCGTCTCCAGCCATGGAGACAAAGGCCTTCGTCTCCATGGCTATGGAGACGAAGGTCCCTTCGTTTCCGGCCATGGAGACGACGTCCTTCGTCTCCATGGCCAGAGAGGTGAAGGTCTTTGTCTCCACCTTCGTCTTCGGCCACGGAGACGTAGCCGGTCGGAGACGATTCGTCTCCGGCCAGAAGTTTCTGTTTTTTTTTAATAATAATTTAATTATTTATTTATTAAAAATTATTTTTAAAAAATTAATTTTGAAATTGGTAACTTACTACTCTAGGTAAACAAATCATTTTGGGTTAAATTGCATGTTTTTGTGTTGTTCAATGACTTAATTGCATTCTTTTTGAATTCAATGGTCTAATTGCATTTTAGTGTGCAGTTGAGTGGCCTATTTGACCCTTATTCCACTTTAAGTCAAATGTGTTTTATAAATCTAGTTAACAAAGATAATATAAATCAATTTAGATTATTCATAATTATAACATGTTAGCTTCTTTTCGAACATAATTATATTAACTATTATAATATTAGATATAAACATAATTTAATGACACGTGATATAAAGATAAAAATTAATGGAACAATTCAAAGGAAAGTTAACAATAAATTTATCATAATTTTTTTTATCTAAATACAAATTTAAAGACTACATACATCAAGTAAGACTTTAAAAGTGTCAAAATAGTCCGGGTGAATTTTAAAATAGTTAAATTCTTGAATTAAAACTCAAACCTATAGTAGTTAAGCTAGCTTACGTGACATATCTACAGTCAAATGGAGACATCATTTTAAACAACATTTTGAATAGAGCCCATGAATGATTTAATGGGTGGCACCGTGGCAGACGTTTAATTTGAAGCAAGACTACAAGCTACTATGCATGGACTACAAATACAACATTCTAGAGATTCTCCATTATTTGTTGGTCCAAAAAAGCTTCCCACAATCAGAACTCTCCAGACAATCCATGCATGTTGTAACAATACAGCATTCTAGAGATTCTCTGGGAATATTATTTATCCAAAGTCAATATTTTCTTAGCTTTACCGGGCCTTCAATCATATCATTTGTTACCAGAACATTCTAGCTAGCCCCCGACAAAAATGGTCTATATATACAACGTTGACGGAGCATTATATTTTCATCGTCAAGCTTTCACAGATCTAGCCATTGTATCATAGTAATTAGTCTGAGAGTTCAGAGAGTAAGTTGTGGTTTGAGAAATGAAGCCGGCGGTGCATAAGACGGCGGGGGACAAGGTGACAATCAGAACCGACTGCCGAGCCGGCGACGAGGGGCGAAAGCACGTCGAGAAAGTCGAGGTCGACACGCGCAACGTTGACACGCTTAAGTACATTGAAAGGAAGCTGACGGAGAAAGGCGTTCAGAGGCTTGAGCGCCACCCCGCCGACGGGCTGCCGTTGAAGCATGATCCGAAGAAGGGCCACGGCGGCAAGTACACTTGGGAAGGCCCGGGTAACGAGGCGGAGAACGACCTCGATCCGGCCCCTCCGGCTCTGGACGAAAGGGACCCTAACTATGTAGAGGAGGAAAAAGAACAGCCGACGGGGAGCGACGGCGGCGGACTGGTGGTCGGCCAAGTTGACGTCGCTAAGGTTGCTGGAGAAGGGGTGGCTAGGATCGAAGTTGATCCTCTCTTGAAAGCAAATTACGAGTAACAAAGTGTACTATATATATATATACCTCGTACCGTTTGTTATTTTGCTGTTTCCTATATATGTTTAATTTGTAATAGAATGGCGTGTGTGAATATGAAAATAAATTTAAAAATTATATCTATAATTAGAGTTGTATGTGAAAGTAGATTGATGATTAGGACCATAAAATGTCGGATTCGCCCGCCCTTATCCTCATACTATACACAAAACAGAAACGTGGGCACAGCCACCAGGTGGCAGAACACTCTACCTCCACGTGGCCTTCCACAAGTTTACTAGTGTACCACGTGGCAAACAAGTGTCTTCCACGTGGCTCCCACCTGATAACCCACCCACAAACTTAAGTCAGCATATATAGGATAGCGCAAACATCGGGCAGCCGCCATGCACTGCACGCAGGAACTCGCGAATTGAAGAAGAAGAAGATGAAGCCGATAGACAATACAAAGGAAACGGTGACGTTTAGGGCGGTGGGCAGGGACGAAGAAGGGGGAAAGCGCGTGACGAAACACGAGGTGGAGACGCACAACATCGACACGCTGAAACACATAGAGAAGAAACTGATGGACAAAGGGATCCACCGGAAAGACCGCCGTCCGGCGAGCGGGATTCCGCTGGGGAAGCAGTCGAAATCCGGGCACGGCGGGAAGTTCACGTGGGAAGGTCCGGCGGACGAGGCGGAGTACGAGCTGGACGACGTGCCGGCGGCCATCGACGAGAAGGATCCAAACTACGTGGATGAGGAGGCGGAGAAGAGCATATTGAGGGGAGAGGTTAGCGGCGTGGAGGGAATGGTGGTCGGAGAAGTTGACGTGCCAAAGGTGGCGGCGGAAGGGGTTGCTAGAGTGGATGTCCATCATCAGCTACAACCTAATGCTTAATTATTAGTTATCTTAATAAGTTTCTATTACATGCTTCCAACTATCTTCTTTTGTTTTATGTTCAACACTTTAATTAATACTGCCTTTTTTTTTTTTTTCTTTTTACCATTTATTACTTTCTTCATTTCATTTTATTTACTATTTAGCAAAAAGTTTTGTCTATAACTAACGAACTAGCCTGACAATAATCAAATAATCAAATTTAAAATCTTGTAATTATTAATTTAACTCTCGATTTAAGTTTATATTCCAACTACAAATATTGTTAATCAATTTGTACTTTATAAATGTTTTATATTTATATGGGTAGAGAGTGGTTTTTATACGTTAATAATATGTGATGGGAAAGTTTTAAACATCAGGGGATGTAGTTCAGAGTGCTTGTTTAGCACGTGAGAGGTACCCCGCATCTCCATTACAGAATTTTGGAAACTGATTTGCCTCCGTCGTGTGAGCAAGACACGTTGGTTGCTGCATATATCATCTTGCTTGTTTGTCGGGTGTGTTTTGCATGCTTGTTTGTTTGTTTTGCATTGCATGCTTGTTTGTTTGTCGTGTGTGTTTGCATTGCCTGGTGACAAACACGTGTTTCATTTAAGGGCTATGACTAATGGATGGTTGCAGTATACGAATTGGGAATGGTACTTCTACTTCTATTTGGAATCAACTATATATGGGCGAGACACTATGAATCTTTTTGTCACAATACCAATATATGAACATCATAGTATGACTACGGTAAATTTTCTTATTGATCTAAAAATACAGGATTAGGATATTTCTTTAATGCTAGAGATGCAAATCTTATTAAAAACATTTCGATTTCCATTGGTTACGAAGATCAATGGCAATAGAAATCGAATTTGAAGGGTGTTTGTTATGTGAGGTTGGGCTATCCGTTTTTAATGGGAGAAATAAATGTGGCTACTAATGGTTTTAGAGTTTGGAAAAATTTGTGGAGATTGAAGATCCCTCCAAAAAAGAAACTAACATAGTTTGTGTGGTGATCAGCATTTTGTCCATTAAGTATGAGGTTGAGGTCCAATCTCCACTTATGTGAATGGAATAAACTATTTGGCCAGTTTCTACCATTATCTTTTGGCACAAACTATTTAGCCAGTCTCCTATCGCTAGAGGAATACCTTTGGACAAAAAAAAAAAAAAAAAATTCTTCCAAAATACAAAAACTTTATTTGGAGATGTGGAGGTCAATTTTACCAACTAAAATGACTCTAAGAAGCAAATGAGTATACATTCCAAGTTTTTGTTCCATTTTTCACCTCTTATTGTACGAATTCGAGGGAACTATCGTATTTACCACATCACATACCATTTTTGTTCAATGATTCAATTGTATAATATGTAAAAGTTTTGTGACATATTTTACACTTTTTCATAATTTTTAAAAGGGTTAATTCCATCGGGGAAGTCCTTTGTCTTTGCCATTTAACATCCCAGACTATTGTTTATGCCATTTAACATCTCAGACTATTGTTTTTTGGACACTTTAGTCCCAAGACTATCATTTTTGCCATTTAATCTCTAGATTTAGTCTCAAACTATCATTTTTGCCATTTAACATTCCAGACTATTATTTTTGACACTTTTAGTCCTTTTCATGACTTTTTCTATATTTAGTAAGTGTGTTTTTGTCACTTCATATTTTTCTTTTGTTATTTTTCCGATTTCAACCAGTTTAATTGGTTTAGGACTTTATTATAAACCGTTTGAAAAAATATGATTACTAAAAATCAGAGGTTTTCCTAAAGTTCAAAATCAATTAAACCAGTTGAAATCGAAAAAATAACAAAAGAGAAATATGAAGAGAAAATATCTTTAATAAAAATAGGATAAGAGTAATAATATGGGATGTTAAATAACAAAAACAATAGTCTGAGACTACATTTGAAATTGACACCAAAAGTAAGAGATCTCCGAATTAACTTTTTAAAATATCAATAAAAAGTTAAGCACGTTCTATTTATTATTTTTAGAGTAAATACCAAAAATGGTCCATCGACTATAGCTAAATTTACAAATTGGTCATCGACTTTTAATTTCAACCAGTTAAGTCCTTTAGCTTTGTAATTTTAACACAATTTGGTCCGCCGTCTATTATACAGTTTGTTGACCGTGATCTTTGATGATATATATGTAATTTCACGATTCTGCATCATCGTCGGCTGCTGCACCGTCATCGACGATCTCCAGAAGAACTTGCAACTCTCGTCGGAGCACATGGAAGCCTCCAGGATGACGTTGCACCGTTTCAGAAACACATCGTCTTCTTCGCTCTAGTACGAACTCAATTAGAGTGCGGTTTGAAAATGCAACCGGAACCTTAAAAAATCGACGATGGACTATGAAATTACATATATATCCTCAAAAATCACAGTCAACAAATGGTCAAATAGACGGAAAATTAAATCGTGTTAAAATTGTAAAGTTAAGGACTTAATTGGTTGAAATTAAAAGTCGAGAATCAATTGTGAATTTAGTTATAGTCGAGGGACCATTTTAGGTATTTACTCTTCTTTTTATTTGTATGTGCTACTATTACAAAATTTTGTTTTAAATTTGTAAAATAAACTATGATGCTAATCATCGAGGTAATATGAGTCAATATAGTTGAAACTAGTGCGGTGGATTGAATTTTTTATCAAAAAATTATGTATGAAGACCATATAGGACTAGCAGGAGAGAATTAGGTTGGGTTAGCAGGTGGAGTGGTGGGTACACTTCATTTGAGTGTTGACATAACACCAAAGGGCAAAGGTATCCGTTCCAAGAAAACGGCAAAGGTTTCGATTTAACCGAGAACATCCAACGACGGACGACCTCTACGAGCTTCAGCCACGTCGCCACCACAACTATATCTTCTAGAATTCGTCACCACACACACATAGACAGACCAGAAAAATGGCAGCCGCAACCGCCGTTTCCACCACTCTCTCGAAGCTTCTCAAACCTACCTCATCTTCCGCCGCCGCCGCCACCAAACCCTTCGCTCTCCTTTCCTCCAAAACCCCCGCTCTCACTCCTCCCATCTCTTCCGCATTCTCTCTCAGACTTCCCCACCGCCGCCGCCGCTACCCCGGCGCACTTAGATTCTCCACCGCTCCCAAAATCTCCGCCGCTATCTCCGTCGGCGACAAGCTCCCCGACGCGACTCTCTCCTTCTTCGAATCCTCCGACGACCTCCAGACCGTTTCCATCTCGGACCTCACTGCCGGCAAGAAGGCCATCCTCTTCGCCGTCCCGGGCGCATTCACCCCCACCTGCTCCCAGAAGCACCTCCCCGGGTTCGTCGAGAAGGCGTCGGAGATCAAGGCCAAGGGCGTGGACACCATCGCCTGCATATCGGTCAACGACGCGTTCGTGATGAAGGCCTGGAAGGAGAATCTGGGGGTCAAAGATGAAGTCTTGCTGCTGAGCGACGGGAATGGGGAGTTCACCAAGGCGATTGGGTGCGAGCTTGACCTCACTGACAAGCCCGTCGGGCTCGGCGTGAGGTCTAGGCGGTACGCCATGCTCGTGGAAGATGGAGTTGTGAAGGTCTTGAACTTGGAGGAAGGCGGAGCTTTCACTTCCAGCAGTGCTGAGGATATGCTCAAGGCCCTCTAGAGGTTTCTTTTTCCTCTACATTTTGCTGCTTTTCTTGACTCTTGAGGGAATTGAATTTCGATGCTGTTTATGAGGATAATATGATCAATAATATGGATACAATCCACTATAGAGTTTACCTGTCTTTTCTGTTCTAAATACTTCAATTGCTATGTTCTATTGCCTGTCTTTTATGTTCTAAACCAATGTGTTTCTGTGATTGATTAGTACTGTCTAATCTGAGCTAATTCTGAACAGTGGCAACTTCTTGTTAATTGGGATTTAGCCTTTTAGGGATGCTTTTAAATGTGTTAGCATTTGGCTGTTTGGATTGTAGTTAGATCAAAAGAATTTGCTACAGAATTTGTAGCACTACTGTATGTAAATGAGTTTTTGAGTCTGCAAGGTATTGAGTATTGATGCATACTGTATTGGATTGTGAGAGATTGTTCAAGAGTAGTTTTTTGTTAAGAACTAGCGCCCAGAAACACTTGATCTTGACGAGCAAATGTGAAATCCCTGCTTGAAATTTTCTGAATTATGCTACAATAGTAAAGATAACCGGCTACCCAAATTCCTGTTGAGTTGTGATCTGTAGACGAGTTTAAAGCTGTGATCTTGCTGCTAATTCAGTTCCAAGATTATGGTGTTTGATATCCTTAACGAAAACTCTGTATGGTGTTTGAATCTTCAGTTTATCTTCCCTTTTTATTTTGGGGTAGGATTACAATATTGGTTTTAATCTTCTGTTTGTCATCAAACCACTCTGATAATCTGTTCAGAAAAACCGAACTTTTAAAACTCATTTTTATGTAGGTTCTATGAAATGGTTTCTTCTGCCATCTTCATTTCCACTGGAAAATGCAGATATTTGGTTGATAACCATAAACCATGTATGCAATATTGCAATACAATAATGTTTTACACAGATTATCCATAGACTGCTAATCTCTGAACCAGCCAAACATGACAAGGTGAATTCATCTATTATGTCAAAATTAGTGTCCGAAATGGATGCACAGGACAAAATATCTGTAGCATTGTCATATCCATCCATTTTATCATTATGGATTAGATGCAGAACATTATGAATATCTGTTAGTCAACCAACAGACTTGCATTTAAACCATCAAGTTTCTGAGTTAGGTTGTAGCTAGTTTGCTTCATTGGACTTTCTGGAGTCTTGTATTGGTTAGCAGAGCAATTGGTGGTTGTTTATTTGTTGCATATAGCAAGAAACACATGGGAGTACAAGCATATATAGCATGTCTTGAGCTCAGTGTTGCAAAAATCGCGCCTAGGCTTCGATTAATCGGGGCCTAGGCGCTAGGCGGTGAGCCTCCTAGGCGCTCTAGGCGCCCGTCTAGGCATTCTAGGCGTTCCCTAGGCGCCTAGAGGGCGCCTATCGATTTTTTCAACATTGATTGAGCTCCACTAGGCCTCCATCGGGGTTGCTCTTAAGTTTTGGTGGAAAAAGTAAACCTCGAAATGTGTTTCGGTCTATAAGTTCCTTGTATAATAAGTCTACTTCCATACCTTTTCTAAGTAGAAATGGAACTTGACTTTCAGCAAAACAGAACTATTAACTTTTTTAAAGTTGATTAGGTGGAAGCATTTCATAGCAGTGTCTAGAAAGAGGGGTAAGTCAAGGGTAGGTGGAAGGCAAAAGACATCCGTGAAAGGTGACTCAAAGCAACATCATGTTCCACGCATAAAGTTGTTGATGTGTGCCTTTTTTTTTTTTTTTTTTTGGTTGCTTTTATTATGTTTCTTGAGTGATGAATACAATATATATATATATATATTCCAAAGGCCTGTATCTTCTTTGCAATATGCATGACTCCTGAAGTCATGCGCAGATTGTTAAATTTTATTTATTTTTGGGTGGTGGCAGTTTGCTGGCAGCAGAGGGTGGGGGTATTTGTCATGCTATTCACTAATTTTTAACTCATTTCCCCCTATTGATAGGGAATATTTCTCTATCCTACTTATACGTACTGCATACTATCAAGTGAAGTCGTCGTGAAGAATTGTTCCCGACCATAACCGACTCGACTTAAGTGTAAAGATCGAACAAATGTTTAACTAACCGTAGTTTCTACCCTGACCTATTTGCGGATCCTTCTAAGTTCACTTGGAAAATAAATTTAGATTCTTGACCTCGGTCACAACGGCTTAGTGGCAAGTCAGGAACATTGTGGAACGTGGACGTCACTACACATTGAGCTTACTGAGTACATGCACGACATGTGTTAGGCATGTTGAGAGCCCTGTATGTGTCACCTTTCTTCCCATATAAATATCACATTTAATGTGAGAAGAAAGTACTTTTGAACTTTTTCACTTAGTTCCATCAGCCCGAAAATCCGAGTCTAAACACCTAAACTAACAACATAACAAGTAGACTAATTAAGGATCTTTCTATGATCCAATCACACACATTCAAATAATGACTCTAATTTTTCTGTAAATCAAAACACTTTGTTTAATTCTAGTTTTGATTTATTTTGGAACCAAACTCTCCCTTGCATATATATATATTTTTAGGAACCTTGCATATTATTCAAACCTGCGACTGTCTTTGTTTTCTTGTTTAGACAACAATGTCAAAGCTGCCAGACGGTATTTCCATCCCGAATATTCCCCAGAAACTTTTTGGCCCCAACGCCATATGCCCATATGGCCATATCTACCATTTCCCTACTTTTTTTTAGTTCTAATATTCTTTAAAAATAAGCGTTAAAATGTTAAATAGAGTATCAAATTAGGCGTAAAATTGTAATTAAATCAAAAGTAATATATTTTCATCCGTTTTTATCTTTGGTCAAAGATAAAGAATGGTCTTCGTGTTCATTTTGGAGACGAAGAATTTTTTTTTTGATGAATCAATCTTTTAATACGAAAAACTAAATAGGATAACTCAAGTGGCAAATGAGCTTTTTGGGATAACTCGGCTTTGATTCCCACAAGTAATCTCTTGGAACGAACCAGGTAGACCTAGAGAAAGACTTGGACCACATTGTAGATTACACAAAAAAAAAAAAAAATTAATACGAAATTTTATAAATATAATATTGAAGAAATTTGAGAAGGTTCTAATAATGGTCCGACATTTGTCTCTTCAAAAATGAAAAGAGAAAAAAAGAAAGAGGATGCGCACATAGATTATGAATGGAGTTTTAACTTTAAGCAGCCATTGGTTCTAAAATTCCCATTTCGATGTGCTAACGAGGGCCCGGGGGCGCATCGGTTTATGAAATACCATGTAGCGTAAACCACATAGTTACGTGTAAACAAATTGAATCGAGTCAAATATCTTATTATTCGATTTAAATTTGACTATTTTAAAAACTATTCGTATTCGTATTTGATAAATATTCAAATTTAAAATTTTATTCGTATTCGATTCAATTACATTATTTGAATATATTTCATTCCACTTGAACATTCGAATTCGAAATACTATTTGTTTTTTCAAGTTTTCCAATAACAAGTTAAGATAATAAAATATAATAAAATTTAAATATAAATAACATAAAATTTCTATTAATATACTATTATATTAATATATTATATTTATATACTATTTTTTATTGAGAAAACTGTCGAAATTGAATATTAATCGAATTAAATATATTTTGATTCGTATTTGAATTTGAATAAAATGTAAATAGAAATATGCATTTGCATTCGGATTCGTATTCAAATAATTAGAATTTGAATTGAAATGAAATTAAAATATTTGATTTATTTAAGCCTAGATACTAGTTACGACTTGACCCAATAATCAACCCAAAGTTACACAATCACCATCGATAAAAAACAAACCAAATCGACGGCTCTAATCAATATCTTCCCTCTACATATACGTCCCTCCGCTTCGGTTTACCTTCGCTACTCTAACAAACCAGCTCTGTTCTGTTCGAAACTCCCGTCTCCTTCTCTAGATTCAATCTAAGCTCCAAATCCATGGCCACCATCCAGTCCGTCAAGGCACGCCAGATCTTCGACAGCCGTGGAAATCCTACGGTCGAGGTTCGTTCTCTCTGCTTCCAGCCTATGCTCAATCTCCGATCTGTTCTAGATCGTTATTTTCATAGCTTAGATTTTATCTGTTGGATTAATTATATGCCGTTTAGCTCCTCTACGACGGATACTTGTTTCTGACGGGATTGTAAGGATTTATTTTGGTATTGATTCGTACGTACGTATGCGTGTGTGCAGGTTGATGTGATTCTGTCAAATAGTCACTTGGCTAGAGCTGCTGTCCCTAGTGGAGCATCGACTGGTAAAAAAAATCGTTTCTATATGTTTTTATTGTTGCATAGATGTTATCGGATGTTTCGTTTGCAAATCTAGTATTGCATCTCTATAAATAGATTCGAAATTGCTTAAGAACCATTTTGTTGATATAGATTCATGATTTTTTTTTAATCGTTTTGTGAGTAGTGACCTTCTGTCCACATAGCTTAATTGCCTATAAGTTTGTTGGTTTGATAGAGTAGTGTATGTTCTCATCGCCTAGTTTTGTACTTACAAACTGTTAATTGGATTTATATCTGTACTGGATGGCTGGATTTTAACTTATAAATAATTGATAAACTCAGTTATTTCTGGCCAACTGATCTTATTGTTGTGATTCTGTAGGAATTTATGAAGCCCTTGAACTGAGGGATGGAGGCTCGGACTACCTTGGAAAGGGTGTTTCAAAGGCTGTTAACAATGTGAACTCCATTATTGGCCCAGCTCTAGTTGGCAAGGTCTTTATTCTTTGAAACACTATCTTCAATTTTTAATGAATTGGTTTTTGAGAATTTGGCTTCACTTCGATCTGCTTGGTTAATATGTGCTAATATTACTGATTTCTGTACTTTGCTTTCAAATGCCCTTCACAGGATCCAACTGATCAGACTGCTATTGACAACTTCATGGTTCAACAACTAGATGGCACTCAAAATGAGTGGGGATGGTGCAAGGAAAAGGTATCACTTGTTCATCAAAATTGCTGATTGTGTTGGTACTTTTATATTCTTGTTTTTAACAATACTCATCAAAATTGCTGATTGTGTTGGTTTTCAGCTTGGTGCAAATGCTATCCTGGCTGTGTCTCTTGCGGTTTGCAAAGCTGGTGCAGCTGTCAAAAATATTCCTCTGTACAAGGTATTGTGCTGTTGTCATTACCTCAATGTCTGAAATGGATTGTTATGCCTTTTGTATTCTGATGATTTTGAATCTTATATTCCTCGTACAGCACATTGCCAACCTTGCTGGTAACAAGAAATTGGTGTTGCCTGTTCCTGCCTTCAATGTCATTAATGGTGGATCCCATGCTGGAAACAAACTTGCAATGCAGGCATGTCTTTGTTTGTGCTCACGCACTCTTCAGTGCAGCCAGAGCTTATGATTCTCCTAGAATGGTTGTTCTAATAGTTTTCTTTTACAGGAATTTATGATTCTTCCCGTTGGAGCTTCTAGTTTCAAGGAGTCCATGAAGATGGGCTGTGAAGTATACCACCATTTGAAGGTGATTCTTGACTCCCATATCACTTTCATTATACCAACTAATGCATCATGCATATTGCCAGGAAAAAAGTTTATTTGTTATGCCTTGTTAAGAGGCTATTGAAAGAGACTTGTCAAATGTCTTTAATTTATTATTAACCCCAAATTTTATTGGGTGTACAGGCTGTGATCAAGAAGAAATATGGACAGGATGCCACCAATGTTGGTGATGAGGGTGGCTTTGCTCCTAATATCCAGGTGAAAATTAGTCTGTATGCTTGTTTCTGCCCTACTTCTCTGCTCTTAATAGTAGCTTACTAGCTTCTCACATTCATGTGCTGTGTGAATCTTCAGGAGAACAAGGAAGGTCTTGAATTACTCAAGACAGCTATTGAAAAGGCTGGATACACCGGAAAAGTGAGTTTTGGTTTTCTGTATGCTTTTCTTTTCCTGTTAGTTAAGTTTCCAAGTAAATTTGAAGCTGAACTCATTTTTCATACAGGTTGTTATTGGAATGGACGTTGCTGCATCTGAATTTTATGGAAAGGATAAAACTTATGATTTGAACTTTAAAGAGGAGGTAAAGGCTGCATCTGAAAAGGCTTGGCCTCTTTACTGCATACATGGCTACATGCATCTGAAGCTACATATGCTTGAATACTTTTGTAAACCCATTGCATTTAGAATTTAATACTCTCCCATTATTTGCTGATGCTTCTCCATCATTATATTTTGCAGAACAATGATGGCAAACAAAAGATCTCAGGTGACCAGCTCAAGGATCTTTACAAGTCATTTGTTTCTGAGTACCCTATTGTCTCAATTGAAGATCCATTTGACCAAGATGACTGGGAAACCTATGCTAAGCTCACAACTGAAATTGGGGAGAAAGTGCAGATTGTGGGAGATGACCTCCTGGTTACTAACCCTAAGGTTAGGCTTCATTTATATTTGACCAATATGATGGGTAACCTATTGGGGTGCTTCCCTGCTTTTGTTCATCTCTCCAAATAACTTGACACTGACTCAAAACTTCTATTCTGCAGAGGGTTGCCAAGGCAATTGAGGGTAAAACATGCAATGCTCTTCTTCTCAAGGTAGAGTACTTTACAATTAAATTGCAATGCTCTTCTTGCAGAGGGTTGCCAAGGCAATTCATTGTTTCTTCCCCTTATCCTTTAGAGACTTCATGGTCATGATTGTTTTGATTTATATACAGGTTAACCAAATTGGTTCCGTCACTGAGAGTATTGAAGCTGTTAAAATGTCTAAGAAGGCTGGCTGGGGTGTAATGACCAGTCACCGCAGGTATGGAATTCCAGACCTCTTAGGAGTTGGGACTGGTTACTGCAAAATGCATTGAATGTGTCTTTTCCCTTAAAACCATAGTTTTTGTAAATAACTGTGCTTATTCGGTGCAGTGGAGAGACTGAGGACACCTTCATTGCTGATCTTGCTGTTGGTTTGGCAACGGTAATTTCTTAATTATGAATCCGGCTTATGATTCTATAAATTTTCTATCAGAGATATTTGTTTAAATTGCAATTTACTGCCAACTTATAGGGACAAATCAAGACTGGAGCACCATGCAGATCTGAGCGTCTTGCCAAGTACAACCAGGTATACAACTGATTTTAAGCACTCCATTTCCTGCCTATCATATGTTCCGTAATTCTAATATCCTCTGCGAATGCAGCTCTTGAGAATTGAGGAGGAACTTGGATCAGATGCTGTTTATGCTGGAGCAAGCTTCCGTGCACCAGTTGAGCCCTACTAGAGCAACAGTGAAGCCTGATTCCACACCTAACTCTGTACTCTGTACTTGGGGAATAAATTATGCGCAATCCTTTAGTTAGTAGTAATAATTATGTCTTTGAAGTTTTTGTTTTGAGGTTTAAACAATGCCCGGGTGGGAATGTTAGGCTGTGCGCGCTCATTTTTGACTTGAGTGTATTTTTGACTTCATTTTGTGAACTGGAAATGCAGAGTTTGTCTTGTCTTAATATAAGCTTGCCTATTTTGGTTTAAGTACTTGACTACTTTGTTATTCTAATATTCTGTCATTATTTTGGAGGTAAATCATATTGTGAATGTGGATTGATTCTGATATATGTTTGTTTTTAATAAGTTTATACTATATTTTGGATTAAAATAAATTTGTAATATAATATACTAAATATAAATCTGTAAAATAATATATTAATAATAAATATGTTGATGGATCTCGATTCAACATAGAACAATTGTATTTTGGATACGTTGTCCATCCAAAATGCCAGCCTAGCCCTGACAGAAGAGACCCAGAGAACACAAGAAAGTCCAAAGAATCAAGCCCATAATAGATGAACGGGATTAGAAAGGACATGAATAGCTCAGAGCAAATTATTGTTCACGAAGTGTTAGACTATAATAAAATGTACATTTTTAATATATTAAATGTACATTAGTTTTATATTGAATGTACATTATATAATATAATGTACACTCAGTACAAAAATAATGTACATTCTTTAAATACAATGTATATTATTTTTGTACTGAATGTATATTATTTTACCGTATATAAAAAATGGTCCACACAATAATGATGGATAACTCGGTACCAAGACCCAAGACAAAGACAATTGGCCTTGGACCAAGCCTGTAATTACTTAAATAGATAGCATAGACCATTATAGATACAAATTGTAAAGTTCTCCATTTGGTAAAATGCCATACAGACGCATAAGGAAATTCTTTATTATTACTATTGCAAGTATAAGAAAAGGGAAGAGCCTAAAATTGACACGTTGAGAAGAACAGAGAAATTCTTTCACTATCTCACCAAATTTAACAATGACATTCCAGCTGACACCAAGAAATTTCTGAAAATGATATTAGAAAACTTCATAATTTATTTTTTCCGAAATAAATCCATATTTTAAGCATAGAATCTTAGCTCCAACTAAGAATTAATTAAATGCGTTGAGGCATATTACTAAACTATAAAATCTTTGATAATGTCATATTTTAATTCATAGTTATAACATTATATGTTGTGATTATTATTATTTTTATAATGTTTTAATTAACACTAGTACGAAAATTAGCATAAGAAAATGTTGCACTCATACATTATTGTAAACAATTCTTTTTAGTAGAGTAAGAAATCAATCCTAGTGCCTCAAACCAAACAACTTAACTTGATAAATAAATGGTTAATGTAATTGTCCCAAATGCTCTCACTATTATATGAATGCATGATATTGTAGCAAGTCTTGTTTGGTCCAAAGCATTTCTTCAATATTACTATAATTCCCAGCTCATAATCTCTTTAGTCTTTATGGTGAGATGCAATGAGCAAACCACAATTTCCAAATACCTTTTGGCGTGTGGGGATGCAGCCATGCTGGCATACCAATAGTTATACCATGAACCATCTTGTATTGTGGATTCTAAATAAAAAGTTATATATTTACACATGCAATTAACAGTTTGTATTTGTAAATAAATTTAAGGTACATAACATGTTAACTATAAACAAATAATCTGAAAATTATTTTAAATCAAAATTCACATTACAATGGTGAAGGTACGATTTGGCCAGGAATACAGTGGTGGGTAATTGCGTAAACCCGAAATAAAAAACGACTTCGACCCGTTTTGGCCATAATAGGGTCGGATTCGAGGCTAAACGAGCCAAACCGACCATAACATTATAATACGGTTCGGATTTCGGGTTTTTGGATTCAAACTAGAATCCGACCCGAAACCCTCTCACTTTATCTGTCTCTGCCTCTTCGTCTCTCCGGCCTCTCACTCACACCATAGATCTGGAGAAAGCTGTAAAAAATCCAAAGCCGATAACCGCCAGTCCGCTACTCTAAGGCCAAAGCCGTCAAAGGGTAACAATTTGCTTTATTATTTTTCTTTTCGTTTTTTCCAGGTGGGTTTAGGGTTTATTTAATCCTAGGTATTTACATTCATACATCCAGAGTTTTAAGCTTTAATGGTGGTCTGGCTGCTCTAAGGCTAAAGCCGTCAACAGGTAACATTTTACTATATTTTTTTTTCGTTTTTTCCAGGTGGGTTTAGGGTTTATTTAATCCTAGGTATTTTACATTCATACATCCAGAGTTTTAAGCTTTAATGGTGGTCTGTTTAATGAATTTGCTTACCTTGCCTCTACGTTGGTTAATTTTTTGTGTACGCTCCAGAAGTGTTATGTTTTCTTAAATGTTCTAATTTCCAGAAAATTTAGATTGAGTTTGGATTTTCCAGCCATGATTTATGTTTGCTTTCCTATGCTAGCATTAGAAAGACATGCACAATATTATATTTTCAATATAGATGTTTCCTGAAAGCATTATAAAATGAAATTTAATCACTGTAGACCACCAAGAACAAGGAAAATTGGCCTTTTGGGTTGTCATGTGTAGAATATTGTAATTATTGTTTTGCTTTTTTTTTTTTTTTTGATTGCATATTTGGATTTAGAATTTTGGGTTTGCTTCCATAATTTTCTTGCTCAAAATTAAAATTTTGCAATTTTTCTGAACAATGTTACATTTTCGGGTTTCTAGCACCCGATCTGGCCCGACCCTTACCTTAAGCACCCAAACCCAAAAATTTTCGGTTCGGTTTTGGGCTATAAAAGAGGGGGCCCGAAAATATTCGGGTGACCCGAATTGGCACGGGTCGAACCCGACCCGCACCCAGCCCTACATCTATCTAATTCTAATTTTAATATTTATTAAATCAACATATTAAAGCTCTAATTTTTTTTTATTGAATTAAATTGTTTTTAGACATCAGTTACTGTCTTCAACAGGGTAGAAAGATTGGTTGGGGTTTTCTTTTGAGAGATCTGGTGCTGAAGAGTGAAGAAAAGCATTTGATGTATAATCAAAATTAAGTCTTGATGTAGAAATGGGTTGAAATAAATTCCAGTCCTCTGATTTTATACTTTTTTTTTTTTTTTTTTTGGAAGTTGCAGCATTTCATTTTCTATGGGTTCTGTCTGATAGATTTTCTGGTGAACTGAATTTTGAGCTGGGTTTCTGTCAGGTTGCAAATTTGAAGGTTTTCAAACAATCTGAGGGAAAGTTGTGAAATCATAGAGTGGAAGGAAAGGGGAAAGGAACAGATTTTACCCGTTTCAATCTGTGAGAAATGGATTCCGGGATTGGAAGTTCGATTCCGGAACTGAAAGATTTCAAGATAGGCAGTTGGGTTCCAACACCCCCAGCAAAGCCTGGCTTGCTGGCATTGGAGCCGATCTGCGAAACAGTGCAGGAAAATGAGCAGATTAGAGCAAATTGGTCAGACTTGCAAACAATTCCACAAGATTTTTGCATAGGCCAAATGAACCCATTAGAACCAGGAGGGTTCTTGCAGGGAAATTATGCTCTTACCAGGGATGATTGGTTTGATTTGACAAACTTGCAGAACTTCTCTATTGATCCAGACAACTGGAACACTGTGTCATTTGGGATCTTCTTGGCACTGGCACATGCTGCAGGAGCCACGGCGCCAGTTGAAATTCCCCCTGAAGATATAGCATTCAATCCCCTCTTCAGTTCTCAGAATGCAGGTATCAGTTTCTGGAAATATAATTGCAGTGTAGAAAACTCAATAAGTTTAATGGGTTCTAATTTTCAACCTATTTGTCTCTTAAAACTGATGTATAATGCCAAAATGCATATATGTGCAGATGGAAGTTCTGTTAGCTCCAGAATCTCTTTCGATCTGAATTCTCTACCCGAGAGCAATGCAGCCTCAAGCAGCAACTCGTTCCAGTTTGCACCCATCACCCCGGTTCAGAACAATGGAAGACAGAGCAAGCTAAATTTAAATCTAAACCTTAATGAGATACCGATACTAGAAGAAGAAGATGTAGAGGAAAATGTTGAAGAAAGTGACCTCAAAATTGGTTCCATCTCCAAACTCTGAAGAAACCTGATTCCACACCAAACTCTGTACTTGATGGGAATGTTACTTAGGGAATATTATGTGCAATCCCTTAGTTGTAATTATGTCTTTGGAGTTTTTGTTTTGAGGTTTAAACAATGCCCAGGTGGAAATGTTAGTCTGTGAGCGTGTGTGCTCATTTTTTGTGAACTGGAAATGCACAGTTTTATTGTCTTGTCTTAATATATGTTTATAGTAGTATATTAATAGACCGAAATAAAATACTGTACTTAAATAGATAGCATACACCATTATAGATACAAATTGTAAATTTCTCCATTTGGTAAAATGCCATACAGACGCATAAGGGAATTCTTTATTATTACTAGTGCAAGTATAAGAAAAGGGAAGAGCCTAAAATTGACACGTTGAGAGAACATAGAAATTCTTTCACTATCTCACCAAATTTAACAATGACATTCCAGCTGACACCAAGAAATTTCTGAAGATGATATTAGAAAAATTCATAATTTTTTTTCCCGAAATAAATCCATATTTTAAGCATAGAATCTTAGCTCCAATTAAGAATTAATTAGATGTGTTGAGGCAAATATTACTAAGTTATAAAATCTTAGACAATGTCATATTTTAATTCATAGTTGTAACACTATATGTTGAGATTATTATTATTTTCGTAATGTTCCAATTAACACTAGTACATAACTAGCATAAGAAAAATGTTGCACTCATTACTCATACATTCTTGTAAATAATTCTTTACTTGAATAATCAAATAGCATTTAGTACGCATAACATATGCTCTCAATCTTATATGAATGCATGATAATTGATATTGTAGCAAGTCTTGTTTGGCCAAAGCATTTCTTCAAGATTACTATGATTCCCAACTCATAATCTCTTTAGTTTTTAGGGTGTGAGATGGTGAGCAAACCACCATTTCCAAATACCTTTTGGGGTGCGGATATGCTGGAATACCAATTGTTATACTATGGATAATCAAAGTCTATATTATATTATGGATTGAGTTAATACCCAATATCGTCCTCGACTATAGTGGTTTTTCTCAATTTCGTCCTAAACGACTTTGGTGACCTAATATCGTCCCAGACTTTTGTGTTTCGCGCAATTTAGTCCCAGACTTTTGTGCTTTTGCTCAATTTAGTCCATCATTTGTTATTCTGTCCATTTGGTGTTAAATAAATAGACAATTAAGTAATTTTAATATTGGCATCTCTTTACTCATAGACATGTGAACTGCGAAATCTCTTTTTTTTTTTTTTACGAATTACTCCCAGAATTACTCCTAAAACTGCGAATATAAAATTTGATTTGCAGGTCCGGGAGTAATTCTGGGTGTAATTTGTACAAGAAAGAGAAATTTCGCACTTCACAAGTTGAAAGTAAAGAGAGATCAATATTGACATTACTGAATTGTCCCTTTATTTAACACCAATTTGACGGAATAACAAATGGAGGACGAAATTGAGCGAAATACAAAAGTCTGGGACGATATTAGGTCACCAAAGTCGTTTAGGACGAAATTGAGAAAAACCACTATAGTCGAGGACGATTTTGGGTATTAACTCATTATGGATTCTAATACAAAAATTATGTGTCTATACATGCAGTTAACATTTTAATGTAAATAAATTGAGGGCACATAACATGTTAATTATAGACACATAAAATGGTAACTATAGATGCATAGATTGTTAACTTCATATAATTACAGATACATAAACTATTAACTACAGGAAAAGAATATGTTAGCTGCAGATACATAATATGTATGTGACCTTAAAATTTATTTATGTATAGACATATAAACAGTTAATAGGAGCATAATCTGAATGTTATTCTGGATCAGAATTCATGATATATAGTATAATTTGGGCAGGAATATAATACAGTGGTGGGTAATTGCGTTGAATTTTCCTTGTGTCTCGGCGATCTATGCGCTGACATATATGAGCGGGGAGAGGTGGGCAGCAAGGGTGGTGCCGGTGCCGCTGGTGGTGGCCCTCGTCCGTCTCCCATTTGGCAATAATGTATGTATTTCTGTCCCTTTCTCTGCTCATCAATCAATGCCTTTCCTCGTCTTTGTCAATGCCAGAAAAAAAAGGGGAGATTCTATCCATATGCTCACCATTGGTCACACACTCCCTCTGTATAATCTTTTTTTTTTTTTTTTTTTTTTGAAATATCGTATAATATTTTTAATTTATGTACTTGTTTCACAAAGAAACTTTGGAATAGAGGAAGAGAATATCATAAGAGTATCCCAATGGGAAATTCTATTCACACCCCCCTTTTTACTATTTGCACCACCTATATAATAGGTCAAACCACTTTATAGGTGGTGCTAACTAAAAATTGCTATTTGCACCCCATCATTTAATGTGGTCCAAAGATTAATATTTATTTTATATTTTTTTTACAATCATTATTATTAATTAACAAAAAAAAAAAAAAAAAAAACTAAGCCGCTAAGCGTCACCTTCTTCGGTGAGAAGGCAACTGGGCTGCCTTCTCCGGTGAGAAGGCAGCCCAGTGGGTCACCTTCTCGCCGGAGAAGGCAGCCCACTGTGTGGGTTGCCTTCTCCGGCGAGAAGGCGACCCACTGTGTGGGCTGCCTTCTCGCCGGAGAAAGCAACCCACACAGTGGGCTGCCTTCTCGCCGGAGAAGGCAACCCACACAGTGGGCTGCCTTCTCCGGCGAGAAGGCGACCCACTGGGCTGCCTTCTCACCGAAGAAGGCAGCCCAGTTGCCTTCTCCGGTGAGAAGGCAGTCCGTCGCCTTCTCACCGGAGAAGGCGACGGTTGGTTTTTTTTTTTTTTTTTTTTTTTTAATAAATTAAATTTCGAATTAATTAATTATTATTTAAATCTAATAAATGTGGTTTGAATAAGGGGGTGCAAATAGCATTTTGACCACCCATTAGACTATTTGCACCACTTATGTATTTATTATAAATTTTCACCTTTTTAGATTTTCAATGTACTTTATACCCCATTTTTAGTCAAAGGGGGTGCAAATAGCAACACCCATCCCAATAGAGATTTTGGGGTGATTTTTGAGGAAATATAATATTATGTAGAAGAGAAAGAGAGAGTAATTAAAGTCTTTAGAGCATCCACACCAGTGGTGAATGAGGGGTTAATGTCAGACCATTAAACTTGGGAGGGGATAATAACAAATATGGGGTAGGGTTATTTGGAGAGATATTTGTCCTGCAAGTGAAGAGAGATTTCAGAAGTGGTGGGACCCACCACAAAAAGTCAAAATTTTCACCACTGATAACAGCCACGCGTGGCTGTCACCATAGCGCATAGCGGGCGCGTGCAGTGCACGCGCCTGACAGTTACAGTTTTTTTTTTTTTTTTTTTTTCCCCTCCCCTCCCATCTTCTCTTTCCTAATCACTCTTACATTATCCCTCAATTCTCCCCAACTAATGTGGATGCTCTTATAGGCCTTAGTTTTTGTCAGATGTGTGGACCCCACCAAATCAGTGAAATTGTTTACTGGTGCGCGTTCTGCGCACCAGGACAGTCAGGCGCGTTATTTCATTTGCAGTTTTTTTTTCCTTCTTTCCCTTCTCTCTCCTAGTCGCATCTGCAAAAGCTCTTCAAAATCCATGCCTATTGAGAGTGCTCTAATTGGAATGCGATCATTAATTTATGCACCCATGTTTTGAGTATAAATTTTATTCTTGGTTGATTCAAAAAAAGTAATTAATATATTAAAACATATTTCGTTATGTATTTCTTCGACCGAAGAACTTTGGGACAAGGACAAAAAGGATTTTAGAACTGGAGTGCAATTTTAATTTATACACTTACATCTTGAGTAAAATTTAACTATTTGATCAATTCAGAAAAGTAATAAACGCTGTTGAGATACTTTTCTCCATGTCCTTCTTACACCAAGGAACTTTGGGACAAGGGCATAGGAATGTCAGAATTGGTGTGAAATCATTAATTTATCCACATATGGAAGAAAGTGAATCAGCTAAATATAGGAAGTGAAGGAGTCTTTACAAAAGACTTCAGTATTCTTGACAACATTAGTTCATGTCTCATTGGCATATGTGTCTTTGGGCTTATATAGTAGTGCTTTTATGATGATCAAAAGAGGTGGTCGAATGGATTGGTTGGTATAATTCTATGCTTAGTAATGGATTAGAGTCTTTTGACTTTCATAACAATATACATTTATTCTTTGTCTTAAACTCATTATATGTTAATTAGATTTCATGAGTTAGAGGTCCCATTCACCTATATGCTTTTGGTTGTGTTTTAGGGGTAAATTATTTCGTGGATCCAGATTCACCTTGTGGTCTAAAATACACAATTTACATATTGAATGTTCACAATTTTGTAAAAGGTAAATTGTGAACATTCAATATATAAATTGTGTAAGAAGGAGAATTGGCAATGGTAACTCAACATTCATATGAGGTCAACCGTGGCTCCCGGGGATCCCAGCCCCTTGGTTCAAACTATTATGCATGTTGAATTAAATGGTGCTTTGGTTTCAGGTTTAATTGATCATGCTACTAAGATCTGGGACCAGGACATTCTAAATGATATTCTCATACATGAGGATGTGGTTCGTATCTCTAGGACCCAGTGAGTCTAGGTTATGAAGATTCTTGATATTGTCTAAATGATCCCAAGGGGATCTACTCTATTAAAAGTGGTTACATGGGCATTGTAGGTAACTTGGAGGACACCACCGGTTCGTTTGATAAATGGACTAGTCTATGGAAGCTAAAAGTGCCCTCAAATGGAGGACTTTCCTTTGGAGAGCTATATATGATATTCTCCCTACCACCTTGAATTTGCTTATAAAGAGAGTGGATGTGAACCCCACATGTCCTATGTGTGGTCTCTACCATGAAGATGTTATGCATTCATTAATTTTGTGTGACTATTCTTGGATGGTTTGGAATGAATCCCTTCTGCTTATCACCACTATTATTGGCAACACTTTTCCTGTGTGGTTTAGAAATGTTATGGCTTCTTTGACTGAAGAGAATGCTAACCGTGTTGTAGCTGTTTTGTACCACTTGTGGCGTGCTCGGAACAACGCCGTATGGGATGGAAATCTCCCACTACCGAGAAAGCTTTGGTGGCAGGCGGCTTCGAATTACCATGGTGGCAGGTTCATGGTCGGCGCCCT